AAATACGTATGCTATAGAGCTTTCCGATCCACGTTGTAACCAAGATTGTTTACATTGTAAAGATAGGATTTCCACGATACTTGGAAACTTGCTCGTTATATATAGCGTACTCGTTATAACCGGTCTTTAGTGTTTACTATGAGATTAGATTTCAATATTATAAAATATCTTTTCTGGAGGGTCTTTTATTAAAAAAACAAAGTATTAAATTACTTATTAATGTACTTTTATATTAATATGGAAAATAAGTACAGAAGTAACATACAAACTCTCGGTTGTTATAAGAGGAAAATAGTAAAATACAAAAAAGTATTTAACATTTATGTTAAAGTAGTATAATGATAACATTTTCGGCTAATCTAAATAGTTGTTCGGTATTACGTATTCTGACCCAATCACGAATGTTCCTTAGCCATGACATTTGCTTCCTTACAATTCCTCTGTGGTCTTGATTTTACCATTCATTATAAACTGAAAGATTTTGTAGCAGTCGCCTCTAAGAGTAGCCACTAGGTGCGATATCTTTCTTATTTTAATAGTTTTATATAATTTACGAACGGCAATTGCTCTATAACACTGCTTCCTTAGTCCGCATGACTGTCGAGTACATCTCGAGGCGATTGATCGTGGCAGCTTATATAATCCAGCTCTCATAGAACAACACCGACCACCCATAACCTTTGATTCATTCTTCTCACCAAGTTGTGTGAGCTGTTTCAATTCTACACTTTACTTGGTGACTGAATGTCATACATTTTGTTTTAGTGACATTCATTTTTAGACCTATTTCTTGCTTTGTCGCATTTACACAATCCAATAACTCTTGAAAGTTCTTCAAAAGAAAGATGACCGTGTCATCGGCATCGAATAGTATTAACCAATTTACCATTAATGTTCACTCCAAGGTCTTTATTTTGCAGAGCCCGTTTGATCATATACAAATAGTGTTGAATAATACGGGGACAGAATGCGTTTAACACATCGACCTGAGTTTCTTAATATTTTCGTTGCATACTGAATACATAGATATCTTTAGGTTGGTCGCGATACTTGTGGAGAAGTACATTCCTAAAGCCAAATTGGGTTACATTTAGATCCTTTTCGCATCGACTTCTTATTCTTCCATGTATTATGCAAAGAATAACTTTCAATGTGTGACTCATCAGTCTAATCAATCTGCATTCGTCGCACCTCTTAGCCCGCTGTTTCTTCGAAAGTGATATAAAAACAGACTTCAGCCATCCATTCCTCTCATGCAATTGCTTTCTTAGTTTCGGCTAATTTTATGGCATGTAGAGCTTCAGATTTTAGTTTTCTCTCCATCTATGTTCTTCAAATCTTTGTCATATGTTCACGGAACATTTCCATTTTCCTCTCAATTTTTTCATATAATTGTTTACATCCTTTTTAATTTTGTTTCTATTAACGTAATAGTGGGTTGGGTTGGGTTGTTTTGCTGGTATTTCTTCACTACCCGCTTTAAACTTGACTTGATTGTGCTTTGAACCTGATGGCGGTTCCAATTGGTCAAGTATTAGTTAAGTTTAGTTATTATATATACATATTATAGTAAATTGTGTAAACTCTAAGACCAATAAACAGATTATTATTACTTACATCGGCAACAAAAGGATTATGGATATAAATACCTATTTATGATTAATTCCTGGATACTATGATACCCTTATGAAATAGCTATACAGGGTGCTTTTCAACTTATACGCATAAACTTGAGGTTTTATTCCTCATGACAAATAATGACTAATATATGAAAAAAATTGTAGTAAAAGTTTTTTAGTTTCTTAGATATCCGATATAATCTGCGACATCTAGATCATGTGTTTCTTGGAGGATGGATAGGTCGACATGGTCCAATAGCCTGGCCACCGTGATCTTAAAAAGCATAGTGTACGCCACGTAAGTTAATACTGAGCAAATATTGCAAAATCAGGTAGATGCTGCTGCACAGACAATCCGCCAACACCCTGGTGTAGGCTGCGCTAGTTGAAGATCGTAGATTCGGGGAACCCAATTGATAGAAAATATGGGAAATAACTTCGAACACTTGCTGTGATGTTATTTTAAAATGTTCTATGTATTTTTGATCTGTAAGCAAATATCACGGATATCTATGAAACAGAGAATCTTTTACTACAAATTTTTTCGCCCATTAGTTATTATTGGATGAGGAGTAAATCCCCAAGTTTATGGGTATAGATTGAGAATCACCCTGTATAAGATCATCAAGCAAAAGCTCTTTTCTTTCTGTAATCGTTTCATATTATAACAGTTACAATCATAGCTTATAAGTATAGAGATACGAGTTTTCAATGTTACCTCTAACTTGGGTAAGCTAAAAGGTTTCTTCTTGATAAATGAAACGATTGTGAATGCCACAATCTACCTAGTCAAATATAAACCACCCGTATGGGCAGAATATTCGTAGTACCGGATTCTATAAGCCAAAGGACACGCAAAGTATGCATGATAGGCTTGGAGTGGAAAGTGAGACGACACAATTTCCTCCACACTATGGAGCGCGAACAAACACAAATTATATTTCTGGATCAGTACACCTAACAATATTATCGAGGTCTACTTACATCTACACGAGATTCTCTGAGTAAAAAATCCAAGATTTGAGTTTACAGCTGCGTAATGCTGTCTTTATGCTCCTCCACCTTATTGCAAATTATAGTGTCACCAGAAAATTGTTTACGAACGTTAAGCAAATTAGATTTAGGACGGTTTACCACTTCAGATCATATCCATTCAACATCATACACTGTGTGCGACCCATCATATACAAATATCAGCTTTTAAGCTAAAAGCTTCAAGTTTAGCAGCATAAATACACAATCGCATACTTTTGTAAGGTCATAAAATAACTTGCAACCTCATTGTTTAATTTCATAAATATCCTGTGACTAACCAAGAGATTAACAGCAGACAAGGTAGACGAGTTCTCCTTACTAAAACCAACCTATACTCCACTTAGGTGACAGTTCATAGCATTACTAAGCCGGTTGATAAAATTTAATGGCATTTAATGTCCAACACATTGTACTATATATGACTAGTCCAAAGTTAATAAGACTAGCAAGGTCCAAATTTGGAAGACAAGAATCTAAATCATTGTAAAGTATCGAACCCTCATGGTAGGTAGAATCTCATAAGTAAAAGTAATTGTACTGGATTTCTTTGAAACTCTAACATTTAGTTTTTCCAAGTAAGATGTAATCGGTTAAAGGAATTAAACGTTTTATTGTATCAAGACTACCTTTTTTCTATATATCTCTCTATCTATTAGAGTTTGAATCATCGTACTCACGAAAAGTAAGTTCTTTTTTTTCAAAATTGCGAGTATAGCTTCGTTCGTCATAATACAACGAAACGTTTTTACATACTACATCTGCCTAATTTGAGAAAATGTTAGTAAAACGTAACTAATATGTATGTAGAATAAGAATGATTTCCTGTTACTTTTGACGAGATAAGAACATTTTTTGCTGTTGCTGTCATGATGTGTCAATTAAATAATAATACTTGACCGTTTTTCTTCCTCTACAATTTAATAATAATAGAGAGGCAGGCGTTATATTTGAACAAATGTTAGAAAATACAGAAAAAGGGCTTTACTTACAGTTAGTAAAGCAGTTTACTGTATTTGAAATCGCGCTATAAAAAAATGTCTATATCTTTAGTACAAAACATTCTTGTGCTAATTGATAAGTATAAGTGTGTCATCAAGTTTAACAACAAAAACAGACGTAGATAAAAATGACGAATTGTTATCATAGTTTTCGATTACACGAAAATTCATAAATGTTCGTATTTTTAATTTGTGCAAATTATTAACTGTTAATGTTTTCAAAGGGCAAAATTCGCATGTTGTACACACTTTATGTTGTTTCCCTGGTGGTTTATCAACTTTCATTTAGTGGAGTGGGGATGTGCTATTCATGTGGGAGTCTTTTATTCATAGCTCTGATTGCTTTGTATTCACTCAATAGTTGTATTGCCAAAGTTTCCAGAAAAGTCCTTCTATTCATTGGAAAATCTGTAGTATTTATCTTTTACTATTGCTTCTCGTTGTTCCTAATTGTTCTTCCTGGTGTAATTTGGTGTTGCTTCAGCAGTATCAAAGGTTACATTTTTCACTGGAAGAAGTAAGCTGAAAGCTAAGCGTACATAACTCCAATGGATTGGAACTCCAAATCGTACTGCCTTATAAAAACACTTCAAATAAAATATTTAGCTACATTTTATGCTAACTCTATACATGGTTTTGAGATATAATAGCAAGAAAAGGGATGAGTTATAAAGAATTTTTAAGTATTTTATCTTGATTTTCCTACAATACAAATAATACATAATAAATTGACTCCTTCATACTCCTTCATTCTTAAAAATATGAAATTGACATCTTTATATTTCCCCGGACCATGTACCCACACGTATGTATCGAAAAATGCATAGACAATTTGTTAGTGTAGTGACAGATTTATTGTAAATCCGAGATGCGTTTTCCGAGTCTCTCTAGAACGAGTGTTTTATTCATGAAAATCATATTGCGGAGTAGGAAATCAGCGCGTCTGAAATCGACGCGTTGTCGCCGGTAAAAAGACAGATAGCGACTCGCTACGGTTTTGCGACAAGTAAAATCAACGATACAGAGCACGGAATCGGTGGAGCGACCATAAATTTTAAAATTACAGCCGGTTCCTCTTATTTGATACGCGAGGAAAAGCGATTTATAACGGTTCGTGTATTGGATCCCGATCGCGCCCTAGGTTTTATTTGTTTATTTCTCGTTAGACCGGATGGAATTTACGATTGGGTGGAAATAACGTTATAGGCTATCAAGTTTTCGATTTTGATATCTAGTTACACTAAACAAGTACTATACGAAATCCAATCTTCTAAAATTACTTTAGTTATAAATAATGTGCTTTATAAGTAATGGCTTTTCTAAATACAATTTATTTTTATTTTTTAAGGTACGAATAATGGAACAAAAATTAGCATGGTCGCAACAAAGTGATCCGAACAACGAGCAAATATCGCGTTTAGAGGGTGAGGTTGAAGAACAACGACAGCTGCGCCTTCAGGACGCGAGACAGGTTGAGGCGAAGGCCGCCCGCATTAAAGAATGGGTCACGAATAAACTCAGGGAGCTTGAGCAGCAAAACCAAACGCTGCGCGAGCAGAACATCAAGTGCAACCAACAGTTAGAATTACTTAAGAATCACTTGGCTCTAGTTGATAGGCGGCGATCTGAAAGCTGCTCACCAGAACCAAGAGGACAACTTGCACTTAATAGTGCTTCTAGGTACTATTATTAATTAATTTTTGATTTGGATTTTTTTAACATTACCTTTGTTATTTTTAGGTCAAATAAACACAGAAGACACCAATCCGTATGCGTTTCAGCCAGCTTTGAACCCGTCCCAAATTCCGCCTACATTCCCAGCGCTTTAGTTTCAAGCGTTCCAAGTAACTCCAATATGGATCCATTATCAGACGATTTAAGAGTGGCCGTCGACAATTTGAGCATAGGTCGAGTGCCGAGTAGCGCGTCCGATTCAGACTTAGCGCACGATTACGCGGAAATTTACACACCCAGCAGAGAGAAAGTGCCGTGGCCCAGAGCGCCTACGCCACCACTTCATAGATTCCCTAGTTGGGAAGATAGAATTTATCAGGTGGCCGCCGACGGGTTAACACTTACCGGAACTACGCCGAGCGATATCGGACCGGAACAAGCTGGATATCAAGATATTCCGGTTCCTGTTTATGCTACCGTTAAAGGGCGAGCTAGTCAAATTAGATCTATGCCATTTACCGGAGATTCGAGTGATGATTCTAGTGATGGCGAAGGAAATAATACAGCAGTAAGAAACGTTTTGATTTCATTACTTAAAAAATTCATAAAACAATTATCTTATTTCATAGGCTATTGATGGAACAAATACTCATAGTAGAAGTTCTGGAGATACTTCCGGTTCAAGCCCTGGAAAAAGAACTGGTTCAACAAGCAGCGGATCACCAAGTAAAAGCAAAACGAGAGGTACTAATCCACAAAAAAAAATTAACTCCCTCCCAGCTATTGCTACAATAATTACTTAATTATTTTAACCCAACATTTTTTATTTATTACAGTTTTGCTTAGCTTTTTTTAGATTTAATCCCCTAATATTAACCAATAGGTGTTTCAGATACTTCTTTCGAATCTGGTATGTCTGATGATTACGCAGTACCGCCGGATGCTTTGAGTTGCGACACTTCAAGTTTGGAGTCTTCGTTGATGTTAAGAGGTTCCTATTTAGATAGCCCGAAAAGAGCCGAAAGTTTAGAAAAAAGTGGTTCCTTAGCTAAATTGGGCGGAAAGTTAAAAACGTGGCGTAAAAGATGGTTCGTTTTAAAGAATGGGGTTTTAACGTACTATAAAAGCCAAAGTGATATAAATCGAAAACCTCAAGGGCAAATTGTCTTAGATGAAATTTGTAAAATTACGAGAGCTGAAGGTTCGAATACTTTTGAAATTGATACTGGGAAAAAGACTTATTATTTAACGGCGGATTCAATAACTGCTATGGAAGATTGGGTGAGGATTCTGCAAAATGTTCAAAGAAGAAACGCTACAAAATTATTGTTGAGTAAGGAAGAAAATAAACCTTCAGTTCAGGGTTGGTTAACTAAAGTTAAAAATGGTCATGCGAAGAAATGTTGGTGTGTATTAATTGGGAAAATGTTTTTGTATTTTAAATCACCAACGGATAATACCCCCGCGGGACAAATTAACATGCGAGATGCACGAGTTGAAGAAGTTGAACATCTTTCAGATTCAGATTCCGAAGAAAAAGATACCGAACAACCCGACTTAACGGTTGGAATTTTTCCTACAAATCAAGGACCGACGTATCTTCTTTGCCCGGGGAAACAAGAAAAAGATTCTTGGTTATATCACCTAACAGTAGCCAGTGGAGGAGGGCCAAGTACAGGAACACAATATGAACAATTAATTCATCGATTAATGGAAGTTGATGGTGAACCTGGATGTGTTCTTTGGCGACATCCAGTTCTTTTACACGTTGCTTGTACAAAAGATGGAATTCCTTCATATTTTCCATTAACAACTTTAACTACGGAAACTTTACAGGTAAATAAACCAAATTATTTCTTTTTACAATAAAAATTTTGAATGAAATATCTTTTTAGGCTGAAGCAATAAAATTATTTAAATGCCTCCAACTTTTTATGTCAGCAGCTGTTGATCAAGCGGGTATTGATTACCACGTAGTTTTAGCTCAAAACGCTTTACAACAATGTCTTGATATGCCAGAACTTCAAGCCGAATTAATTTGCGCTTTGATTAAACAGACAAGCAAAAGTACGCCTCTTCCAAAACTCGGAGTTCAGGTATCTACACAAAAGTTTCTTAAGAAAAGTGTAAGTGTGCTTTTTCTATTCAGTTTTTATTGGTCATAAAATTTCTTTTTTAATTTCGTCTTAAATCTCATTTTATTTAGTTCTTTTTTCAATGTTGCGCAGCTAATGCTTCATTTACACAATCATTTTATTTAATAAATTAAAATTTACCTTTTAATGCACATATGTTTATTAACATTTTAAATTAAATTATTAATACAATTACAATATTTTGATTATGTGGTGAATTTCATGGATTTAAGTGGTTTAACGCTTTTAATTATATTTTGTATGATTTAATTAGATGTTAAATGATTACACATCATGTCAAATGATTATAGAGGTTTTGAATTTTCAATACTCTGTGTTATTTTTGGGATCATAAGAGACGTTACAATCATATCTTGTTAATAACAAATTGATTCTCTAGGGAAAACAAATTGTAACCAAAATATCAATTAATACAATGATATTAGATGTGTTAAGATGTCATTAAATGGTAAACCTCTTTTATTTCTTAGTCATTTCTTTCAATAAAAATTGTGGGAGAAGCAAATAATACTCCCAAACTGGTCGAATATTCTTCCACAGTTACAGCATTTAACACCTTGGCTGCCACCATACAACCAATTAAGTAATTTCCTAAGGGCCACTGTAGAAATGGTATACTAGAATTTCTTTTTTGAAAAACGACATCTTTTTTATATGTAAATGGTATATATGATGGTAGAAAGCAAAAAAAAATGTGAGTTATGTAAGTTATGTTACTTTAGTACCATGAGGATCACCAGGATTACTCAAGTGCAATGAAATTACTTATAAAAATTATCTTTGTATTTTCAATGAAGTTTTGTAAAACAAGAAAGACATGGAAACAAATTTTCCTTGTTTTTGTGCCACTGAACGTCCTTCTTTTGCAACTTCTGCGTAACAATTTGTACATCTTCTTCTTTTTCGCCGATTGTTGTTATCCTTTTCTTCACTTTGCACTAAGTTGTGCTTCAGGGAATCTGAACGTTTTGGTGTAACGTCATTCTTTTCAATACCTAGCATCTCAAGCACAAGCATGAGGCAATATGAATTTTCCTTTTGTGAAAGTGATTGTAAATGAAAAGTGCATTGACTATAGCAGTATTCAATAGAACCTACTTTGTGATACCATCTGATGGTTTTTCTCAAGAGCGTAAAATAACATGACATTTGGTCTGAAAGGTCTATCCCTTGCTTGCCCTTGTTATATTCTAAAACAACAACTGGCTTACAAACTTCCTCTCCCAACCTGTTTTTTTCGTCCAGTTGTCATCTTTTTCAAAGTATCTTTTGTGCTTAGGAAGTAAACATCTCGTTTGTCCTTTCACTTTCCAACAACAATTCCTTTCGAATTTTGTTTACCAACCATTTCTCCTTTATTTTTGGTTTTTTGTCATGATATATCCTTTTGTAGGTACTTCCTGTTCTTCCTTAAGGTAGCTAATAAATGAGTATCTCTCGCACTGATGTATAAAAGTTATCCACTACCACTTCCTTCAGATAAATATGGCTCTGTAAGTTCCATAACTACTCTTTCAGCAAATCCAGCAGACTGCAGTCCAGTAACTGTTTGTCCAAAATACAGTGACATGCTCAATGTATAACCAAGTGGATTGCACAACTTGAACATTTTCATTCCATACTTGTGGCTTTTGTTGGAAATGTACTGTCTGAATAATAATCGGCCACGAAAAGGAATCATTGTTTCATCAACAGCTATCATTTCTACAGGCACATATTCGATTTTGAATCGTTCCTTCATCATGTCAATTAGATTTCTAACTTTGTATAACTTATCACTTTTGTCAGGCGTCGAATTATCAGCAAAATGAACGAATCTCAGCAATAGTTGAAATCTATTTCTGCTTATTACTTTTTTGGCCTTTTGAATGATACAATTTTTGTATAAAATGCTGGTGGATCAATAATCAGCTATTTTACTATACTTTACAAATCCCATATAAAGAAGGACAGGAAAAAACTTCTACATTTCATCTTCATTGGTATTCACCAATTCAACTTCTGGTATATCTGCATGGCAGTTACACTTTCTTGATTTTGTGTTTCAATGTCATCAATTTTGTATGATTTTGAGCCTAAAAACTGTATATGAAGTAGTATCTCTTGCTATTCTTCTGTTTCCTGTTGCACAGCTTCCTCTTGAACTAACGTTTCAGGATCCACTTCACCCAGATTCCGATGACTCATCATCCACCTCAAATTCCGAGCAGGATGATGAGAATAAGTTTCCTTCAGAATCATCATCACTCTCAAGTGCGGCTGCAAGTTCATGTTCTTTCAATTTTCTTATAGACCACTGGGCCCAGGTTTAGAATCCATGATGAAATCTGTAATATTATAAATAAATTCTAATTATTACTTCAGCACTTGGTCGTTATAAATAACAGAAAGTGAAGGAAATATTGAGGAACTAACCTCAAAATTGGTTTTGACTTGAGGATCCATTGTGATCCTCGCGGCATATTAGTGAAATTTTTCTGAGGAACACAGTTATCCTCATGGCAGCCAACATTTATGAAAGATAAGAAAGCTTAACTCTCTCTCGCGTTACCATGATAAAAAACTTAATGATTGTGGCCAAGTGGGGTATGTCAGAAACTTCCAAGTATTATTTTGAAATGTGTCTATTATGACACTTTTTTTGTTGAAACATGTTCAGAAAGCATTATTTTATGATTACATCAATTAATAGATTTTTGCATTTTTCAATATTTTATTCCTAAGAAACGACACATGGGATTCCTTTCATTTTTTCCCCTTGGTAGCGGAAAGGTTAAGAAACCTTATCTAAGCAAACATTTTTTTCGACTTGGTCCAGGTACTGTCCTTCTGATTTTACTTCTTGCTGTTCAGATTGAAGTATGCGAACTTCTTGGACTCATTGACCGACTTTTAAATGAAATCGATTTTTAAATTGAAGTCTTCGACAAACTCCTTCAATTACACGGTCCTGTCCTGGAGAACTTTTTGTGTTACACATAAAAAGCGAAAAAGTAAATGCAGCGGTGCAATGACAAGGTTCATGTTTGGTCGGTTGTAATCTGGTGTTATTTTGTGCCATGCACTTGTATACTGATAGGGAATGTTCTCTCAGTTGCCTTATATGATATGAGTAGTAAGCACTCAATTCAAATAATATTCATTTTGTGGTCATATAAATAACTTATTGGACATATTGGAGAAGTTGGTCTATTTTTCTTTTAAACTGCTTTGGAAATCATGAGGATCCGCAACTTCCAATTTACCCCACTCAAAAACTTTGTCCATTTAAACTAACGCCATGTGTGCAGCTGATTTTAAATTGTATGTCTTAGATTCTGTTTATTAGTCATATTCGACTTGGTATTCTGCCAAATTCTTGATGCTGGAATCGTATTTACTTTAGAGAAAGTCCTGTATTGATCTGACAGCACCCTCAGCGTTCATCTCTCCTTCAGAATGAGTTTACTTCTTCTTCAGATAGAAAGATATAGAATTTGTTGGGTTGCTATCTTGCTTCTTTCCTTTGTAGAAGAAAGGTGTAACTCCTTTCAATAAAATTTTTATACTTATGTTCCGCAAACGTACCACGAAAAGAAGATGAAAAGAAGAAAATGAATGTGTCCCTTTCGTAGATGGCCCTACCACTAAGTGCTCAAATTCCACTTCACCTTCTTTGTGGGGTGTTTAAAGCTCAGCTTACAGCTGACATATTAGGTTTGCACATATTTATAGAAAAACTGCATTAAAATTTGCGAAGTTATCTTCTGAACTTTGCCAATGTCATTCAGAATTCAAGTCTGTATATCTTTTGTGTTTAGTCATACTGCCAATACACATGGTTATCGGCATTGTTAATAAAATGCGCAACACCATGGATGCATTGGAAAAATTTTCAAATAAACAGTTTTTAGTTATGAAATTTAGAACTTCAGTTGGTGAACTTTTAGGATGACTAATGAATATAGTATTCTTGGTGGTCACGATCTGTTAAAAACAGTTGGAAATCCTAGTACTATTTCAATTACTCTTTGCTATTGGTTTTATTATTAATGTCATACAAAAAACGAAACATATCATTGTAGTATTGGAGCTGCTCAAATCTTTCTTCTAATGAATTTATAGCTATATCTAGAATGGAAAAAAGGAAATTTATCTTAAATGCCTGTTTTGCTTGGGTTGGTTTTATCTTTCTTGGGCGAATTTTTGTGGACTGCTCAAAATTTGCTTCTATTTCTAAAGTATCTGCTAAATCTTTAGCATTGACTAAAATTATTTCTTCAAATCCTTTATCTGATCGTAATTCCTCAAAACATGTTGCCAATGTCATTCAGAATTCAGGTCCATATACATTTTGTGTTTAGTAATGTTACCAATACACATGGTTAATGTATAGTATTGTATGTATTTATATTTTGATGCTCACAAATAATTAACTTTTAGGGGTGACTAATGAACATAATATTCTTGGTGATCACGATCTGTTAAAGACAGTTGGAAATCCTAGTACTATTTCCTTGCTTCTATTTCTAAAGTATCTGCTAAGTCTCTAAAATTATTTATTCAAATCCTGTATCTGATCGTAATTCCTCAAAACATGTTTTCACTTTTGAAATCAATTCTGTTACTTTTTGTATATGGATTGCCTTTTCCTGTAGGGTTTTACTATCTAGGTTAATGCTGTACAATATCTGATACCAAATAACAATAGCAAGCAAATAAATTTGTAGCTCTTAATTTTTTTTAGCCAAATTTCCAAACAAGCATTGGTTTATATTCTTTATTTGCCATCTTAAAACCTCTTTGTGGGTGATCAAACATTTACAATGACTATTTCCTCTAAGATGGAAATTGAATTTTTGTTTGAGTTTTCAAATTTTTATTAAAAAGCTGCATTTTAAGCAGTCTGTAAAATATAGCCAAGACACAGTATGACCAGAAAGAAGGATATTGACGTCGGTTCCTTTGATGTTGGAGGAACTGTATTTTTAACCTCGATTTAAATTCCGCCATCTGGAAAAGAAGACCCAAAAGCAAAGAATCACCAGAAAAGTTACTTGGGATATCCCGCCAAAACTGATTTTTCTGCATCAATGCGATCACATCATAATTTAGAGGGGACACCTTGTTGTTATTAGTGGTATATTTGGTTAAAACCACCAATAACACGTGACGTCACCTCACAGACGCAGAAAAATCAGTTTTGGCGGGACACCCTAGTGACCTTTTTGATTATTTTGTGGCCAAGATATTATTCGAAAATCTTATTCAAAAATTTGGATACTGATTTGGGCTTTATTATTTCAAAATTGATTAAGAATTTTAGATTAGAATCAAAACTAATGCATTAAAAGGTTAATTTTCTAATTTTTCTTTGTCTTATCATCGCTTCTTGCATGTTTCATGTTACCCCAAAAAACCAAAAAAAAAGAAAATATCAAAATAAAAAAATTAAGTATAACTAATTTAGATTTAGTTTAAATTACATAAATTATTTTTTATTGTTTAATGATGCATGTAAATGTCTCAGTAGAAAATCCTCCTCCTTTAAAATTAGTTTCAATTCAAAGCAACGGAAAGACGAGAAAGAATGTTGGTGTTTCACCTATTTTTATTATTATTTCATTTTGTTTTACTTTCTCCAATGTGTTTTATGCAGTTTTTATTTTGTATGTTTATTCTCCAATAGACATAGAGAATTTAGAGAAACCTAGATGCCTTGTTGATGTGAATGTTGCTCCTTCAAATCAACTCAAAATAAATAAATAAATAAACCCAACTCCAAAGGAAGACAAAAAAATGTTCAGCTCTATTTATACCTTTTTCATGTTCATAAAAAGTTTCATTCATCTCATTTCATTCACTTCATCTTGCTTTGTGGTTCACAAAAAAACTCATTTTTACACACACAAAACTATACAAAAACCTGGAGGAAAAAGCGTTTATTCGTGGTTTTTTTCTTAAAACCCTGTAAGAAACACCAAAATTCTTTTCAGCAACTCCTACTTTGCGCTACGCAGAGTTTATTTACTTGTGAGACAACGCCGACGAGCGTTAATAGTTCTTCCGATCAACAAATAGCCTCCTCTAATGCGCAGGCATCGCAAGATGAAAAATACAAGGAGCACAAAGAATATAAAGAGCACAAGGATCATAAAGGACCACCCAGTTATACACTCGTTCAAGGTTGGCAATTATTAGCGCTTGCTGTTAGCCTTTTCGTTCCTAAATCATCAAGATTACTTTGGTTCTTAAAATTGCATTTGCAAAGAAATGCCGATAATAAAACTGAGTGTGGAAAATATGCTTCGTATTGTGAAAGAGCTTTAGAAAGAACTATTCTTAAAGGTAAAACTTAAAATAAATATTAATGTTTACAATTTTAATTAATTAATATTTTTTTGTTTTGAAAAGGTGGTCGAGAATTAAAACCATCAAGAATGGAAGTTTTAAGTATTTTACTAAAAAATCCTCAACACCATTCATTACCTCATTCAATGCCTGTACATTTATTAAATGGAACTTATCACATAACGAGTTTTGATGGTTCCACAACAATTAAAGAGTTTCAAGATACTTTAGCCCATGAAATAAGTTGTCGCACCACGAATGGTTTTGCGATATTCAGTGACGATCCCATTGAAAAAGATTTAGAACACACTTTAGATCCAAACGCAAAGCTTTGCGATTTAATTTCAAAATGGGAAATCGCTCTTCGCGAAAAAGGACTTGGAAAGTTTGAAAATTCCAAAGTGATTCGACTAACATACAAAAATCGTTTGTGGTGGAAAAATAGCGCTAAATTAGAAACCGACAAAGAACGACTTTTACTTTGTTATCAAGTCAATCGACAAATAGTAGCCGGACGATTTCCACTTAATCGAGATTTAGCGCTTGAATTAGCTTCGTTAATGGCCCAACTTGACATGGGGGATTGTTCATTAAATAAAGGTTCAAGCCTTAATAACACGATGAATTCTCACCTCAAACAAAGTGTTAGCACAACACATCAAAGTCCTAAAAGCGCCACAATTAATGGTCAACAACCCGGTACTTTAAGCCCGCAGGGAACAGTACAAACTTCGAATACATTAAACGCTCTAAATAATGTTCATAACATTTTAACGGCGCATTCTAATCAAGCGTTAAATGCGATCGATAAATTTTATCCGTATCGGTATAGAGACCAATTAACCCAAGAAGGTTTAGCAGAACTTCAAGCGAAATTATTGGAGAAATGGAGAGGGTTAAAAGGAAGAACTCAATTAGATTGTGTTAGAATTTATTTAACTTGTACAAGGAAATGGCCATTTTTTGGTGCTACATTATTTCAAGTAAGTATATTTATACTAAATAAATTTATTTTAAAACAAGGACGGTAGAATTTAAGAGGACTGTTATATTCCGGGAACAACTAGAACTAACATTAGACCTAGAACTACAAACATTCCAATTTAGGCGTGCATCTCTTAAGATTGCTTAAGACAACAATTCTTCAAACGCCCTTTTCTAAATTTTTTTTTTAATCAAACACCCGATATATCATATGTCATCTTAAAATAGAAGCTTTAATCTTCAATTTGAGATATAAATCATTTTCTATTTCTTAAAAATATGGACGCAGGGTTTTCTTGAAATTCTTACTTCTTTGACAATTTCAAACTTAACGTAATTTCAACATTTCTTCAAACGCCCATTTCTAAAAAAATTTTTAATCAAACACCCAACATATCATATCTCATCTTAAAATAGAAGTTTTAATGTTCAATTTGAGATATAAATAATTTTCTATCTTTTAAAAATATGGACGAAGTGATTTTTTGAAATTCTTACTTTGTTTACAGTTACAAACTTAACGTAATTTCAATATTTCTTCTAACGTCCTTTTCTAAATATTTTTCTAATCAAACACCCTACATATCATATGTCATCATAAAATAGAAGCTTTAATCTTCAATTTGAGATATAAATCATTTTCTATTTCTTAAAAATATGGACACAGCGATTTTTTGAAATTCTTACTTCTTTGATAATTTCAAACTTAACCTAATTTCAACATTTCTTCAAATGCCCTTTCCTTAAAAATTTTTTAATTAAACACCCTACATATCATATATCATCTAAAAATAGAAGCTTTAATCTTCAATTTGAGACATAAATCATTTTCTATCTCTTAAAAGTATGGACGCAGTGATTTTTTGAAATTCTTACTTTTTTTGACAATTTCAAACTTAACGTAATTTCAACATTTTTTAAAACGCCTTTTTCTAAATTTTTTTTTAATGAAGCACCCTATATATCATATCTCATCTTAAAATAGAAGCTTTAATCTTTAATTTTAGATATAAATCGTTTTCTATCTCTTAAAAGTATGGGCGCAGTGATTTTTTGATTTTCTTGACAATTTCAAACTTAACTTAATTTTAACATTTCTACAAACGTCCTTTTCTAAAAAAAATTTAATCAAATATTCTATATGTCATCTCAAAACAGAAGCTTTAATCTTCAATTTGAGACAGAAATCATTTGCTATCTCTTAAAAATATGGACGAAGTGATTTTTTGAAATTCTTACATTTTTGACAATTTCATTCCTTCAAACGCCCTTTTCTTAAAATATTTTTAATTAAACACCCTACATATCATATATCATCTAAAAATAGGAGCTTAAATCTTCAATTTGAGATATAAATCGTTTTCTATCTCTACTATCTATTCTTTTACAATTTTAAAGTTAACGTAATTTCAACATTTCTTCAAATGCCCTTTTCTTAAAATTTTTTTAATTAAACACCCTACATATCATATATAATCTAAAAATACAAGCTTTAATCTTCAATTTGAGATATAAATCGTTTTCTATCGCTTAAAAATTTGGACGAAATTATTTTTTGAAATTCTTACTTCTTTGACAATTTTAAACTTAACGTAATTTCAACATTTTTTAAAACGCCTTTTTCTAAATTTTTTTTTAATGAAGCACCCTACATATCATATATCATCTTAAAATAGAAGCTTTAATCTTCAATTTGAGACATAAATCATTTTCTATCTCTTAAAAGTATGGACGCAGTGATTTTTTGAAATTCTTACTTTTTTGACAATTTCAAACTTAACGTAATTTCAACATTTTTTAAAACGCCTTTTTCTAAATTTTTTTTTAAGGAAGCACCCTATATATCATATCTCATCTTAAAATAGAAACTTTAATCTTTAATTTGAGATATAAATCGTTTTCTATCTCTTAAAAATATGGGCGCATTGATTTTTTGATTTTCTTGACAATTTCAAACTTAACTTAATTTTAACATTTCTACAAACGTCCTTTTCTAAAAAAAAATTTAATCAAATATTCTATATGTCATCTCAAAATAGAAGCTTTAATCTTCAATTTGAGACAGAAATCATTTGCTATCTCTTAAAAATACGGACGAAGTGATTTTTTGAAATTCTTACTTCTTTGACAATTTCATTCCTTCAAACGCCCTTTTCTAAAAATGTTTTTAATCAAACACCCTACATATCATATATTATCTAAAAATAGAAGCTTTAATCTTCAATTTGAGATATAAATCGTTTTCTATCTCTTAAAAATATGGACGAAATGATTTTTTGAAATTCTTACTTCTTTAACAATTTTAAACTTAACGTAATTTCAACACTTCTTCAAATGCCCTTTTCTTAAAAATTTTTTAATCAAACACCCAACATATCATATCTCATCTTAAAATAGAAGCTTTAATCTTCAATTTGAGATATACATCGTTTTCTGTCTCTTAAAAATATAAACGCAGTGATTTTTTGAAATTTTTACTTTTTTGACAATTTCAAACTTAACGTAACTCCAATATTTTTTAGAACACCCTTTTCTAAAAAAAATTTTAATCAAACACTCTACATATCATATCTCATCTTAAAATAGAAGCTTTAATCTTCAATTTGAGATATACATCGTTCGCTATCTCTTAAAAATATGGACGAAATGATTTTTTGAAATTCTTAATTCTTTGACAGTTTCAACCTTAACGTAATTTCAACATTTCTTCAAACGACCTATTCTGAAAAATTTTTTAATCAAACACCCTGCATATCATATCTCATCTTGAAATAGAAGCTTTAATCTTTAATTTGAGATATATATCCTTTTCTATCTCTTTGAAATATGGACGAAATAATTTTTTTTAATTCTTCTTTGACAATTTCAAACTTAACGTAATTTCAAAATTTCTTCAAACGCCCTTTTCTAAAAAAAATTTTAATCAAACACCCTACATATCATACATCATCTTAAAATAGAAGCTTTAATCTTCAATTTGAGATATAAATCATTTTCTATCTCTTAAAAGTATGGACGCAGTGAATTCTTCAGACTAAAATTTCAAACCCGAATATTTGTAGGTCTAGTATTAGTTCTAGTTTTAGTTCAATAAAAATCGGCAATAGCAGACTGAGAGTGAGACGTGATATGATGTATTGGACCGATACTGACCTCATATTTTAGATTACAAAAGAAAAAGGAATGTAGTCCTTTTAAATTCAACCACCCGATTTTAAGCACAAAATTTAATTTTGTTAAAAATGATTTTAGGCTAAATTACGTCAACATGATTCACCAATGATTTGGTTAGCAATAAACGAAGATTCCATAACAATTCTAGATTTAGCAACGATGCAACAATGCGTAAGATATCCCTACACTAACGTTTTAACATTCGGTGGTTGCCAAGAAGATTTTATGTTGGTTGTGACCCAAAACGAACAACAGCATTCTCAAAAATTAATTTTTGCTTTAAGTAAACCGAAAATTCTCGAATTAACCCTACTAATTGCGGACTACATGAATTTATTGATTACGAATCCCGGAACTCCGCTGTTGGGTACTTTAAGTCGGGGAACGATGGTTTCCGTGAATCAATCCGTCGTTAATCAATCCATTATTAGTCAAACAATGGCTAATCAAAGTCAACCGGATATTTTAAAATCGACGCCGGATCATGGAGGAGTTCAAAGATCGGATTCGAAACGTCGCACTCATGTTGATTCGGGACTAGCGTGATATTGCCTAAAAAATTTAATTGGAGGTCGTGAAAGAATCGTGGTTTATTAAAAAAAAAATATTTAAAGAGGTAAGAAAGAAAAAGAAAAATTAAAAATTATACATAAAATTAGACGTCCCCCATAAACAAAAAAAGAAAGAAAAATAATTAATAATGTATATAGATATGAAGAGAAACAGATCATTTTTGTGTATATAAAAATACATGTCATACAGTATGTTTCATTAGTATTGACGCATGCGTAATGTCTTTCTGCATAACAATTACTCATTTGTGTTAATGAATAGATTAAAAAGAAAAAAGTAAAAAGGTTTTAAAAAGGACGTAATAAATATTTCATAAAATTTTTCATTGTTACTTTAACTAAATGAATTAATCTGCATAGTTTACAGAGTTAATATAAAATTTTTGCTAATTAGTTAGAGTTTCACTGAAAAATTACACAGATTTACAAATACAATAAATATTTGGATATGAGGAAACAATATATTATTATTATAGTAGATTTCCAATAATCCGGTGTTATGTTAGGGATTTTACCACGACTATAAAACGATAAAACATAGAGCAGTTACATTACCAAGATGCCTAATATACAGTGTGCGGCAAAATTATGGAACATTATTTTGCAAAAACGGCGAAACAAGTCTGTATTTGTTTTTTAAAATACATATTTTGAGCCCATATTCACGAAGTGAATCCCTCTGTTCTGAGTCAACAAAAGAATACTCTTTTAAATTCGGTAATAAAAAGAAATTGATGACTACGCCATAACCAAAAAATAAATGACTATCGGGAAGTGAATATCGGTCCAAAATGTGTGTTTTGAAAAACCAAAATAGACTTATTTCGCCGTTTTTGCAAAATAATGTTTATAAGCGTTGTATTGAATTTATTCCATAATTTTGCCGCACCAAGAATTTTCAAACTCGAACAATGGTCAAAATCTAAAGTACTTTACATTTTAGAATGTCGCATAGTACATTAATTAACAACAAAAGTTAAAAAAGGTTCTTTTGCTTCGTTGATTCGTTGCGTTTTTATAAAAGTTATTGTTCAAAATATATAAATCAATAAGCTCTGAGTAATTGCAACTACAGCTTATTTCAGCAAATGCTATAAACTTCTTAAGCCTCTTTCCAGCTGATTCGCTCTATCTCTTCTACAACATCATCCGAATCTTGCTTTTCAACATTCATTGGTTGAACATCAAGAACACTTTGTAAAATAGTTTTATCCCTTAGTTCTTCCTCTTTTGATTCTTTTCAATCTCTACCCATTCTGCAACTTCCTCTTTAGACATATTTTCTGACGGATTGTCTTTAGATTTAGGTGCACCCCTGATTACACCTAACACTTTATTTATTGTGCTTAAGGTTACTTCTTCACTAATTTTAGGTGTTCCACCAGTTTCAACGAATGCATTTCAACCATAGCTTCCTCCAACAGCGTTGTGCATGCATCCTTGCCATTATATTTCTATTGAAAATCAGTTACATCACATTCAGAGTTTAAGTGCTGAAGAAAGGAGCTTCTATAAAAACATTTAAATTTTGAACAACTTCTTGATCCATAGCTTGAATCAATGAGGTAACATTTAGAGGCTAAAATGTTGCAAATATGTTGCCAGAAATCAACTCTGTTATTGGTGATGAGCTTTGAAGTTATCCAAAAAAGGAGGACTTTGTTATCTTCTGGCAGTTTAAGTTTTGTAAGGTTATCCTTGACCTGTGATACAAAGTGGTGTAAAAACCAGCCTTTAAGTAATGTGGCATCCTAAGTCATTAAAACATTTTGTTGAGTGTCGTAATGAACAGGCAAAGTTTTAATATGTTTGAAAGCGTTTTTTAGATTTGCCAATTATAAAAGGTGGTAGTCAATGGTTTCCACCTTCAGCTAAAGTTGATGTCTATAAACAACGCCAAAGTAAGCCTCTTTTATTGGCATTATACACTTAATCAGCTGTCAGTTTGTTGTCTTTGTTAATTTTGTCAAATATTTCCTTGTAGTAGTTTGCAGACTCTTCATTTGCTGATTTTGTCTCTCCCATGACATCAAGTCTTCGAATTCCATGTCTAAACAACGTTTTCAGGTCCATATTTGTAAACAAAATGCATGACATTTTTAATGTCATAAATCCCCAATATTAAATTCATTCATCAAAACATTTCTATTTTCACCCTTTTGATGATTTCCAACTTCTGAGTTATTAATGCTGAATGTGTCGTGTTTTCTTTTCTGTCCAAAGTTTTTAACAATTGGCATTTTAGAAAACATGATCTTAAAGAAGATGCCATATTATTAGGCGTTCCAGACTATTGGATGCTGGATTAATGGAAATTTACCATATAAAAAGACTATTTTGTATTCTCATATCCAAACTCCTATAATCTTGTGTTATTAATGAAATTTAAGTCCTAATTACTTAAACATTAAGAATTTAAGAACTGTGCTGAAATGTGATTTAAATTTTTTTCTTTAGTCTCTATTTGTATTATGTTCATATGACAATACTCTCAAGGAATTTTTGTATATACACATACACAGAAGTAATAAATGTATTTTTTATTTTTAAATAAGTTCTTATGTGTAAATACAACGGAATTTGATGTCGAAACGATAATGACGAGACGTATTTTATAATAATTGATGAAAAACTAGTCTAACTTGTATTTTTAATTTTTTTCAATAAGTTACCATGATGATATTAATTTTTGCTGTAAAAATAAGTACCGTAGCAGCACTGAAAGTGATGATTATATGATTATAAAGTAAAAAAAAACGTCGAATGAAAAGAAGATGATAAAAGTGTGCGTTTTCTTGGTTTTTTTTCGGATTTTATTGTTGAATTAACCCAAATGAGATTTGTTTCTAATCGAATACATTTGATATATATTAATAGTAGAAATATTTATTACTGTATTTACAAAAATCTATTAAAGCATTTTTTATCAAATTCAGACGTGAGAGTATTTCTTAACCCCAAAATTCCATTTTTTTAATTAATTTGCAAATAATTTATAGTTTTGGTTTGAAACTTCGCTAAAAAATTTTTTGTACTGGGTGGCTCAAATAAAAGATTGTAACATTTTTGTCGAAATTTGCAAAAATTAATGTTTACTAATAGTGCATTTAATATTAATACCAAAATCAACATAACCAACATTTTTTGTGCCATCAAAATCAATGTGTTTTCTGATTGACATTTCGTCAAATACTCTCACTGACACCAAATGATGTTGATCTTGTTTAGCCATGTATTTTAGAGCTTGTAAACCTTCAGTATTTATACCAATTTACCAATTTCGTATGGTGGATGGATGTGGAAGTGCCTTAAAAAATACATTTCTAACATAATCATATGACTTTGGGGATAAAAAATTTAATGTTAAAGCAAAACTTCTGATTTCTGGGCCAAATTTTAACGTTATTTGATACCCTATAGTCTTGATTCCTAATCCAATTAAATGCATTCCTAATCCTATTAAAAGTTCTATGGAATTACAAGACCATAAATCCCGGAAATGTGGAACTTCTATGTTGCATTTGATGATAAAATGACTCTTGTGTCTTATAAACCTAAACAAAATCTATAAATCAAGAAACAAACACACCGCATATAATCCACATCTATAGTGCGACAAAAGGAGCTGTTGATTCTTTTGACCAAATGGTTTAGAGTATGTGCATCAATAGAAAGACCAGGAGATGGCCTCTTTGTTTTTTCTACAATATGCTCAACATTGCAGCAGTGAATTCCTACGTCATATATAACCATAATGCAATAAAAAGAGGACAGGCACCATTATCAAGGCAAGAATTTGTTCTTGAACTTCAAGAACAACTCACCAGAGTATGGCAACAAGAAAGGTTACAAAATTGCCCCTCCTTGTCAAGAAAATTGAAAGACTCTCTATGTCAAGTTTTACAAGATCAGCCTATTACAGAGAATCAGGAATACCCTCAAGGGAAAGGGCAAAGAAGTTACTGCAGTTTATGTCCTACAGTGAAGAGGAGAATGACGACCACAATTTGTTATGTATGTCGTCACGCGTTGTGTGGTGAACATCACATAAAAAGATGTATATACAGTAGCCAACAACAGAAATGATTTATCTTCATTTGTTTATGTTTATTATTTATTTGTTTATTCTTAGATGTCTAATAAAAAAGTCTATTTGTGCTATGCACATTTACCTTTTATTTGAGGTTCACTCTAAAGAAGTTTGCGAAATGCTCAAGCTTAATTCGTTTTCTTTTCAAACTATGATACAAGTTAGAAAAAATCAAATTAATAAAAACATTAACCACCCTCAGTTTCTTTCTATTTTCTTCCACAACAGCTAATTTATGAAAACATAATCATATAAGCATGAAAAACGATAAACATACCGTTAGTATTCTAGGGTTAAGAGCGATCGATTTAAGATGTTATCTAAAAGATTTACAATAATTTCAAAACAAACAGCTGTTCAGCCATTGTGACGTATCCGAGTATTTCCAACATGGTGTCTTTTTGGTGTTATCTCCACTACCATCACTCCCGCAGTCCAGCTATGTCGATGGTAAAAGGGAAGTGTGAAAAACAAAACTTAGGTTGTAAAGAGAGGTGAAATGTGGAGAGAACTGAGGGATAGGGACACACATAGGCAGGAAAGAAGGTCACAGATACGGGAAGGGTGATATAATGTAAGGTATGGACAGAAGAACTGCCAAGGTATCTGTTGATGGAAGAGAACGAGGACGGGAAAAAATTGTTGGCCAAATTCTGCTGTGGCAATAAAAAGAGATAACAGGTATTGGGCGGACGATGTGAAGAGGTGGTGTAGGCTGTGTGGAGAGGATTGGGAGACACTGGAACACATTCTGAGACGGGGGGCATGCAGATTTTGGGAGAAGGGGCAATAGATGGATGAGGGAGGTGATTGAGGCGAGGAGCCGAGGGTGTGGAGATGAAAATTTGGAGATGAAATTTATTACTGATTTTTCAAACTTATCTCAGCATAAATAATGCGTCGGATATGTTCAAACCACTAAATCGCACGAACTTTATGTTCTAACTATAGAAGTTAGCTAATTATTCCCATTTTTATGTAAAAATTATACTTTTCCCAAGGACAGTAGAATCTAACAGGACTGCTACATCCATTGTTGTGACAACCTGCCCGTAAACTACGTCACACCATTTTCCACGCCCAGCTGTTGTTATGGTCTATGCGTTTGCTGTGTGTTTTTAGAGGTTATATCCTAGACATATTCATATTAGTTTTGAAGTTTTATGTTTTTTGACGTATTAATGTCTATCACATAACCTCTAAAAACACAGACAGTTACCAGGCGTGGCAAATAGTGTGACGTTGAGTGCGGGCAACCAACCCGTAGTGGACTACAAAAATACAATGGATGTAGCAGTCCTGTTATAAGGACAGTAGAATCTAACAGGACTGCTACATCCATTGTTGTGACAACCTGCCCGCAAACTACGTCATACCATTTGCCACGCCCAGCTCTATGCGTTTGCTGTGGTTTTAGAGGTTATATCGTAGACGTATTCATATTATTTTTGAAGTTTTATTTTTTTTAGACGTATTAATGTCTATCATGTAACCTCTAAATCTCTAAAAACACACAGCAAACGCATAGTACTGAAAGACAGTTAACAGGGCGTGGCAAATAGTGTGACGTAGAGTGCGGGCAACCAACCCGTAGTGGGCTACAAAAATACAATGCATGTAGCAATCCTGTTAGATTCTACTGTCCTTGGTCCTGTTATACTTTTCCTAAATTAAAAGTTTTTAAGTTCAATTTACGATATGTAACCATAGAAACCAATAATATAAAATAAAAGTTACAACTTTTGTTAGTGAAAAATATACGGACAAATCAAATTAAAATATGGCTAAAATATTTTAAATGTAAATTAATGTAATAACACACTATGTAAGTAATAAATATTGTTTATTTGTAAGTGAACAAATCCTCATTCAAACAAATTCCCTCCCAATTCGGCACACATTGGAAGACGAGTTCTAAATTCTTTATAATACGTACGAATTTCCGCCAGTGGTAGAGATTCTATCGCTTTAATTATTCTTAGTTTTAATAGTTCTGCATAATCTTGTAATGGTTAACTGTAAACAATTTATTTCAATCGTCCCCAAAAATAAAAATCCATAATTGTAAGATCAGGACATCAAATAGGACCATTTCGTTCAATCCATTTTTGACAAACTTGTAAATTTAACCATTTGGCACAATGTGTGAATGGTAAGCTGGGTAACTGTCTTGTTGAAAGTACATTGACCGTATAAAATTTAAGGATGATTGGATTTACATCGTTCCAATAACGACAATGCTGGGAAGAAACAATATCATTTGTTGAAAAGCTACCTGAAAAGCAGCGTCTTCCTCATTTAGTCTCTTTGTCTGCCTCTTTATGGATAATACAGAACCCGTTTCCAAAAATTTTTTCATAAGTTTGCGAGCCCCAACACGAGATATTTTTGCTGGAATTTTTGTATAACTACACGAAAACATGATTCACTAGTACCATAGTACAGTACTAAATAAATTCTCTCTTTCACGGTTAACATCGCATGAAAAGACTTAATCTCACCAACATAAGTTGTAATTTTTATGGTTTCTATGGTTACATATCATAAATTGAACTAGAAAAATTTTCAATTTAGAAAAAAGTCCAATTTTTACATAAAAATTGAAATAATTAGTTAACTTTTATAGTTAGAGTATAAAATTCATGCGATTTAGTAGTTTGAACATATCCGACGCATTATTTATGCTGAGATAAGTTTGAAAAATCAATAACAAAAACTTCTTTCCTCTTTGTAACTCGATCCGGGGACATACTGTATACTACATAATATGTAGTATATTATAATTTTATGCTTGAATGTAGTATTTTATTTCCAGGAAAAATGTCTTCAAGGACACGAAAAATAATGAACCTGGTGCAGATGAATGACAGTGCCAAAAGGAACTGTTTATCTCGACCAGATCCACCAAAAATAGTTACTGGAAATTATGTAGTTAGCTCCGATGGGACGCTTGATAGAGTGAATGATGATATGTCGCAGAAAAGTGAAGATGCAGTTCCACAACCACAACCATTGGAATACACCAATCTGATAGAAGAAGAAAAGAAGACAATTCAACTAGAAACGTGTAATGGCATTATTTACGTAGAGGAGCCAGGTAATAATGATAGATACCTGCACACGAATGACACGGTCCTGGAAAAATCGAATGAGGTAGAAACTGCAGATAGGCATTCAACTTTTGGTCTGGGTGAAAATCCAAGCATCGGACTTGAAGAACTCGAAGAATTACGAAGAAGTCCACATTTTGTGCTCATTCACGTTCCAGAGGAGATGGCGAATGCAGGAAGAGACACTGATTTTGGATCTGTCGAAGATCCTTGTATCATAGAAAACAACGAAGAAACAGAGGATGAAGTCCGTGAAAAGTTCGGGCACGTCAAAGAGGCAGTAGAGGGCAAAGAAGAACAAAAACAATCGGAAGATCCTTATTCTGATTCTAGAGGAGGTACAGAGATGGGTAAAAAATATAAACAAATAAAAAATGCAGAAAACGATTCTGATTGATGAGGAAGGCGAAATCATTTTAAAGAAAAGAACACATTTGAAGCGAGGAGACAAGCTAGAAACAAAATTAAAAGAGTTCGAGGTAAAGGTTATGAAGGTTACAGAAGAAATAAAGAAAAACATATAACACGTACTCCAAGGGAAGCTAGACATCTAAAGGCAAGATGCAATCACAACACAATAGAAATAGAAAAAATAACAAAAAAATCTTTTTTGTGCGCTTCACTTACCGATGAGGACAGACAAGATATTTTTCGAAGACTATGGAAGCTAGATACTTGGAATGAAAAAAAACTATTTATCCGAAATCTCGTTGTCATCAGACCAATTCGCAGACGAAGAAAAGACATAAAAAATAAGGATGGTGATTTCAAGAAAAATGAAGGTCATGACTATTTTCTTACGAAGCGAAATAGGGAAAGACTCAAAGTTTGTCACAAGATGTTTTTACATACTTTAAGTTTGGGTGAAGACTGCTTGAAGAGATGGCTAAAAGAAAGCAGGTCGGTCTCTGAGTCATCTACAGATGATACTATAAGTCACTCTGAAGTTCCGATGAATAATAACAAAAAAGAAACTCGTCAAGGTATACAGCAACAGAAATTAAGCCGCACTGTTGTTGAGTGGCTTAGTTTGATACCAAAAGTACCGTCACACTATTGTAGAGCATCTTCATCTAGACATTATGTTGACAATGCTTTTGTTTCAAAACAAAATATGTATAAAATATACAAGACTTGGTGTACAGAAAATGAAAAAAGTAACACACCTTAAATCATTTATATGTATTTTGAGGGATGAAAAAATTTCTATCCATAAACCTCGCAAAGATCAATGTGATACTTGTGTTGGTTATAAATGTGGAAATGTCCATTCAGCATTAGAACATTACTTCCATCCTCCTATCAACTCGCCGACTGACTACGTGCAAGAATGCGGCTGGCTCGACCAAATCTTCCATACGAGATAAAAGTTCTAGATCACACTTTCTTTAAAAAATATGAAATGCCTTTTAATTTTCCGTCCATTAGGCCAGGAAAGCGTGTGGGAGATCCCGTTGTAGTCGATGTTCGTCAAATAAAATATTTACCTGATGGTAAAGTTTTATACACCTTGGACTACTCTAAAAATTGGCAAGAATTACCTCATCGAAGATGTCCTCAAGAAACTGCTTCTTACACTATGCCGCTTTATAAAAGACAACTGCCAATATCTGACGACAAATACAACCACTTGCAAGACTTAAAGGGAGTTATAGAAAAAGATCATCATCCATNGCTTAGTTTGATACCAAAAGTACCGTCACACTATTGTAGAGCATCTTCATCTAGACATTATGTTGACAATGCTTTTGTTTCAAAACAAAATATGTATAAAATATACAAGACTTGGTGTACAGAAAATGAAAAAGAAGTAACGCACCTTAAATCATTTAAATGTATTTTGAGGGATGAAAAAAAATCTATCCACAAACCTCGCAAAGGTCAATGTGATACTTGTGTTGGTTATAAATGTGGAAATGTTTCTGAAGTCGAATATAATCTTCACCGTGGAAAAGAAAAAGCTGGTAGAGAAGAAAAAGCAGCTCTGAAGGCTAGAGCAAGGGATGAAAACTTTGTTGTCACCATGAACCTTCAGAGTGTTTTGACATGCCCAAAACTCCTAGCTTCAGAAAGCTACTATAAGCTGAAGCTACAACTACACAATTTTACCATTTATTCGTTAAACGACAAAAGGGTTGCGCTATATGTATGGCACGAAGCCAATGGCGGAGTTTCATCGAATGAATTCACGTCCTGTGTAATTGATTACATGCTGTCAAGGTGGAGGACCAGAACAAAATTAGATCATTTGTTCTGATTTCGGACGGATGCAACTATCAAAACCGCAATAAGGTCTTGGCAAGTGCTCTTAATGACTTCGCCGTTGAAAAAAAAGTAACAATTCACCAGCTTTTCTTACAAAAGGGACATACCATGATGGAAGCTGATTCTGTCCATTCAGCATTAGAACATTACTTCCATCCTCCTATCAACTCGCCGACTGACTACGTGGCAAGAATGCGGCTGGCTCGACCAAATCTTCCATACGAGATAAAAGTTCTAGATCACACTTTCTTTAAAAAATATGAAATGCCTTCTAATTTTCCGTCCATTAGGCCAGGAAAGCGTGTGGGAGATCCCGTTGTAGTCGATGTTCGTCAAATAAAATATTTACCTGATGGTAAAGTTTTATACACCTTGGACTACTCTAAAAATTGGCAAGAATTACCTCATCGAAGATGTCCTCAAGAAACTGCTTCTTACACTATGCCGCTTTATAAAAGACAACTGCCAATATCTGACGACAAATACAACCACTTGCAAGACTTAAAGGGAGTTATAGAAAAAGATCATCATCCATTTTACGATGCATTGCCGCACGAACATAAAAAGAAGAAAACTAAAAACTAAAGTTTTTCTTTCAGTTGAATAATTAAGTTGATTTTCTTTTGAAGCGTTTTGATAAATTTCTATGCATAAATAAATAATATAATAATAAATAAATTTTTGAGTAGACAGGGCTTTTATTTGTTTTGCACAAATATATTATTTCTAAATCCTAAAATAGGTACAATGAAACCGTAAAGTGGTAAATACCAACAATGTGATATTTTAAAATGTAGCAATACCCCCAATGTGACTTGCATAAGCGAATTTTTGGAGAAAAAAGGTGTTCCGATTGTTTTTGTGTGATCTGTTACATTCAAAATGTATATAAATCAGCGTCAATACAATTTTTTATGATATTTTTCCGAATCTCCTTCAATTATATAGTTTTTTCGTTCCCCTGTAAAATTTGTAATTATTCACATTAGAGGTATTGCACGCCCGGCGACGATATACTGATGATTATGAGCAAACAGTACGAATGTTTGGAAATATTTATTTTGTACGTATAAAAATGTATATAACCATATTTATATTAAACTCAACAAAAACAAAACTTAATAATATTAAACCCACGGCTCCCATCCTAAATACATCCTACATAAAAGATTAGGATCCGTTGCATGATCCAACAAAGATTTAACTTGATCCTCAACACTTAACAAACCATTTAAACCCGAACGCACATTTCCCTCATACCCCCTTACATATTCCACGTATTTCTCAATAACTCCATCATCATTTCGTTTCTTCAACTCCTCAACCATAATTTCAACGGAATTAGCCCCATTTAATTTCATTTCAACATGCCGAATTTTTTCTTCCCCACACCAATTATATCCAAAAAAATTTGAATCTTTTGATATATCTTCAAATTTTTTATATTGAACCCAATCCATCGATGGTTCATTAATAAAAACTTTAACTGTTGAAATTAAAGAGTTTTTCTTATCTCTTAAAGCTCTTAAGATATGAATCATTGATTGTTCAATTAAACCGTGTTCTTCTAACGGTTGCATTAAACTAACTAAATGCGGTGTTAATCTGAATGGGACTAATTCTGGAATTGATTGAATTTGAACTCCAACACCGAAAGCGTGCCCAAAATCGATGTCGATTGTTCTTGCTGTGTTTAAACAAATAAGTGTGTTTTCTAAATGGCGATCTCCAATTCCTAAAATCCAATTTGCTATGCAAGTTGAGATATAGCTTGTTATAAAAGTAGTTCGAATCGATATAAAACTTTCTGAGTCGACGCTTAGTGACCATAAAGCTTTTCGGAATATATCTGTTGGGATTTTGTTTACTAATTCGCGATATAAATTTATAACAGTCTCGGGTTTATGTTTAATCAAAGCTTTTGAATAATTTTTGGGTAGCGAGTAACGATTTTGATGTAACGTTTTTATATTATCAAGTTGTTTATTAACAGATTTTTGATTATTAATTAAAAATTTTCTTAAAGGAATCGTATTTTCAACCCATTCTATTAGTCCTAAACTTTTAGTTAAAGGAATTACTTGATAAGTTGATATTTTTAATCGTCTTTCACGACATGTTGCGTTACTATTAAAAACTTCATTCATCAACGTAAACATTTGTTCAATTCGTTGATCTTGGCGAAGATCTTCGCCGACTTTAATAAGAAATGGGTATTCTTTACCATCATTTCCGATAATTTTTATTCGAATCGGTGTTCTTTTCGATTCCATTATTAAAATTTCCGGGCTAAATCCGGCGATTTTTACGTGATACTGCGGAAAAGGTCGATCACCTTTATATTGTCCGGGGATTTCTAACTCAACATCTTCTTGATTATCCATAAAAAACGATAAATATGGCGAAAAATAAGATAATGTTCTCGAATGTATTTTTTCTTTGACATTATTAATATTGGATTTTAATGATTGCAATTTTTCAATTATTTTTGCAGGGTTAAATTTATCCCTTTCTAATTTAATTAAATCTTTACTTAATTCGATTATTTGTTTTTGAACTGATCCTATTTTGCTTAAAGGATCATCGGTTTTTATACAACGTGTTTTTAAATTGTTGAGGTGCGAATTAAACAAATTTTGGTCGCTTAAATAACAAGAATGTAACAAATCTGTTATACACGAAGTAATAATACTTTTCGGCGAAACAACGCTTGAAAGTGCCTCAATTAAATCATCAGCGTTTTTATCCAATAATAAATCATCCAATTCACTTAATAATAATTTCAAATTTTGGTTATAATTAACATTTAAATCAACTTTTTCTTTGCTTAATTTGTACGGATACATTATTGATTGAGGATAAGATTTGGCGATTTTTAAAATGATTTTATCGATAACAAAAATGCAATTTGAATCGATTTTCGATAATAATTGTGGTATCCATTGTATAAATAACCAAATTGGGATATTTTCTGATTGTTTTAAAAACGTTTCTTTATATTCCTCAACATTTTTAATATCTAATAAGCAAGGGAACATTTGTCGCCCTTCTTTCGATTCAAAATACATCGATCGTAAAACTGAGGTGATATAATTTTCGTTATCATCATAAGATTTATAGAAAATCGCCAATTTAACGTAAGAATCCCCGATTAATTGTAGGTTTAAAGTTGTTTTGTTGTAATCGTCTAAATCGAGTCCGCTTAAAATATTTCTTAATTTGTTGACTCCATATTCTTTGATTGTTTTTTCGGAATAATCAATTAAATCGGGGATTAATTGCTTTAATTCTAACTCAAATTGATTGGAATTTTTCGCAAAATCAAATAAAATGTCGTATAAAGCACGAAAAGTTGATAATTTTAAATCAAAATCGATGTTCTCGGTGTCTATGTTATTAATAACACGATAAGATTCCTCAAAATATCGATAAATCCTCTGAATTGGAAGAAAATGACTTTTAAGCATTAACATTTTAGCGTACGCTAATTTCAGCTTAATATTCGTTATATTTTCTGGAATTTTTGAGAAATATTTACTTGCAACGTAAAAATTTTTCATGTTAACCGCGTTTTCTATTAAATTCACATCAAGATCGAATTTAATCGTATCAATAATCGATTGATCTTCAATCAAATTTAAGCATTTCGTTCGATAAAGATATCTCGATTCAATTGGGACAATAGAAATCGAGTTAATTTGATAAAATTTTCTCCATTCTTCTCCAATTTCATTCTCAATCACGTTGTTATTAATTTTATTAATAAAATTAAATAAATCGATTGAATTAACAATTTTTATCATCATATTAGACCGCAATGTAACCAACATAGGACTCGTATTTCGCCAATCATCCAAAAATTTTTCAAGGTTATATTTAATATAATACAAAGCTTTATGGTAGTTTTGATTGATTAAATGGGCAAAACCTAATTCTTCAGAGAAATGTTGTTTTAAATAAATCGCTTTTTCAGTGCTCATGGAATTATTCAAGTTTTTAAGAAACTCTTTTTGTATTTCGGGATTTTGTAAACCGTTTCTTAACTCGGCTGAAATATACCAAGGTAAAAGTTTACGTTGGTTAAAATCGTTGTCCCATAAATCTTCCCAAACATTGTTGGAAGTTACGTTTTGGATTGCCACGGTCATTTCCTCCCATTTCGACATTTCAGCGTAACATTTGAAAAATGATTCATAATAAAAATCTCTTCTTTGTGAACAAGGATCATTTTGTAACACTTTGTTGTATAATTGTTCGGCTTCTCGCCATTCTCCTTTTGATTCATAATCGATTGCTTTTAAAACGTCGTTTTCGCATTCCATTTTTTGTACGAATATAGCTTTTACAGTATCCCATTCTTTGATTTCTCTGTAAAGGCTACGAAAGAAATATTTGATTTATTTAAGATCTTATAAAAATCATTTTTAACTTACTTCGCTAGATTAACCCAGATTTTTAGTTTAGCGTTTGAGGAAGGTTTTCGTTTCGATGGAATTTCGACGTTGTGTTGCGAGATTAAATATTCTTCTAAAATGAGGATACCAGATGAGATGAGACCGGAATTTGAAGCAACTGTTGTAATCGTTTCGGGTGAAAACGAACTTCCCGGGATTTTAAGAATAACGTTTAATAGTGAACTCATAAAATAGGAGTTATACGTGATTGAGGATTTAAATATTTCGTTGATTGTACTTGTTATTTCTAAAATGAAGTTTTGATCTTCATTATTTTGCTTTAAAATATCCTTAAAGAACGATGTATAAAAAATTTCTGCTATGTGGTAATCATGCTGAAAGTTAAAAAAAACTGTCAGTTAAATATTTCAAATTTGTTATTGCTCTTAACCCTTTAACGAATTAACACTAGTGTAGAGAATCAGGAAGTAGGCCAAAAGTGGATATAGTTGGACTCGCAGCATACATGATGTTTTATAGATGATGGCAATAAGCTTATTATAAGTATGAAGTCTAGTAAATCTCTATTTACTAGAGTACCAGCCAAAGATGCCATGGATGATACTTTTGTGAACTGGCAACATAGAAAAGAACATTCCTACATGGTTTGGTCACTAAGAAACTGATTGAAGATTAAGACACTTGAAAATTGGGAGTGTATCCGAAGAAGACACATGAACGAGCATCTGTAGGCTTCGTCGCATCATCTTCCATAACAGAAGATGGAACAGAAGATTCCAACAAGCAAGAAGGATATGTGCCAAAAAGAATTTAGAATGCCAGAAGAATGGCTACACTATGAGGGATTAGCAGCAAACCACCAAACATCGCAATCAAAAAGAAGACACGGTAAATACTGCATCAGTCATTTTATCTGCCTCCCTAATGTTTAAAGTGTAGCGGCGCAGATTTCGAGCTGCCTAAAGAAAAAACATATCGTGGTACGATATTATATGGTCCACAAAATTCAGCACGCTCTTCCGATAGCTAAAGACAAACCAACCCCAATAAAGGAAACGCCACATCAAGAAACATGACTGAATAACGACCAGCACACGGAAAATTGATTACTCTTTCAGAACATGGCATGTGCGATTTTTGTCCAGGCTTGGAGCTTTTAAATCACTCATGAAACAGGTTGATATATTCAACATTAATGTAGTTGCACTCCAGGAAACTAATTGGCTGGGCAGCGAGATAACAGATATGAGGTCACACGCAACCTTTAAAACTGGCAAGCAGTCGGGAAGTCGCAACTTTGGACTGCCTTTCATCGTCAATACAACATCTAAACGTCAGATCACAAACTTTAAATCCATTAACGAAAGAATGCACACACTTCGTATAAAGGCAACTTTTTTCAACGTTTGGCTTATTAATGTCCACTTCCTAACAAAAAAAGGATGAAATAAAATTAATGACTCATTTCCTTCCAATGACATCAAGATCATATTAGGTGACTCCAACACGAAGATTGGGAAAGAGGAAACGCAGTCGCCACGACATTAGTAACAATAACGTCAACACCTGGTCGAGTACGCTTGCAGTACGAATGACATGGTGAGCTCAACGTCCTTCTGCGTCATGATATCCACAAGAGAACTTGGACGTCATCCGATGGAAGGACGTTTAACGTAGTGGAGCCTGTTCGTATAGACAAAAGAGCAGCTTCCAGCATCATGGATGTAAAAACCTACAGAGGTGCTGACTGCGATTCTGACCATTACTTAGTTAATACTTCATTCCGACGAGCCGATCGAAGCCACATACACATCGGCTTTGGATACCATTTTAGCCAATCACCACGAAATACCAATGGAGCAGCTATGGTTCTCCATCAAATTGGCTTTACGACCGAAAATGATATTAAGACGCAGAGGAAGTCATAGGCAGAAACGACTGGTTTGATGATGATGNAAACGACTGGTTTGATGATGATGATCCAGACGCCATTAACAAAAGGAACGATACAATTTACAGAGATTCCAACCGAGAACGAGCTTTTTTAGGAACACAACGGGAGATATAATCGGCAACGTGGAAGATATAAAAACGAAATGGAGCTAATATTTCCAACAGTCACCGGGAATAAAAGACAAAAAGGACGATAAACTTTGTTGAAAAAATTACAAAGGGATATCATTGCTGTACAAGTCTTGGATTAAACGCTTTACGGAAGATATAATCGAAGAACATCAAGGTGGGTTCAGGACCGAACGATCAAGTACGGACAAATATTCACAGTGTAGCAGAAAAACGCTGGGAAATACTAGAAAAATGCTCGGTATATATCATGGATGTTATATATGGACGTACCAGATATTTGTAGATTTTAAGCAGACATACGACAGTATTGATAGAACGGTACTATATAACATAATGCTGGAATTGGGAATACTTGAAAACTCTTCATATTAATAAGGCTTACTATGACGATTGAGACGTGCCAAGTAAGGATTCAAAGCAACTTGACACCAAGCTTCCAAATTTTCTTTGTGCTGAAGCAGAGAGATGGCCCATGTACACTTTTTAATCTGGCTATAGAATATGTAATAAGAAAACTTCCAGCGACGGTAGTGTTTAAGTAGTCACCATCAGGTCGCCATTAAGTGTTTGCTAGACTCGACATATGTATGATGATAATGAATGGAACATACTACTCTACACTTCCAATTATCGACTGTAATGACGTCGACAGAGAGACGATGGCAATGAACCGTGGATCTTGTTACAGACATTCGAGAAAATCATTAATGCCTTCGAGAGAAAACTGCTATCACGAATTCTCGGACTGGTGAAGAAATAGGATGCTAATACGATACAATGAGGAATTGTATAGTATCTTTGAGGATCGAGACCTCACCACTCTCATCAAGCTTCAAAGGCTGCAAGTTGCTGGCCACGTGTGGATGAATGGAGTATTCAGTCGATGAGGATAGCAAATTGCTCGTGAAATTTGCGACTGCTGGACTGTAAGGCCACCAAGGCCTGAGTCGGGTCTTGGTGGTCTATCTATGCATCACAACATGTGATGTTTTATTTTCACTAATTTAGAGTATAAACCCAAGTTCGCTTGCGACTAGGGCTTACTTTCATCAAATTTTAACCTTTAGGTTATTTTTTATAACACAAGCAACCTCAGTTATATAGTAGGTAAAGGAGTCATGTTGTTAGATCGTTTGTGGCAAAGGCTTGATCTCGATCACATTTCATTCTTCAGATTTTTCTGTATAAAGCCGCGGACTCAAGCGTCCAATTTGCTTGCGGCTGAAGCACTACCTCAATTACAGATTACTCTGAAGTGTCTTCAATACTATAATACAAAACAGTAACAAGCGATATCGGCTACAATATCTCAAAACTAGCTAAAGTAGTATATAGTTGTGGCAAATATCATTGAGGCGATTTATTCCTTTACAATTTTTGCAAAACGTCCTCATTTTTCAAATTTTCTCATATATCTCCGAAGAATACGAATTACGAACATCTTTTGATGTGGGTGTTTTCTTCCGACACGCTCCATCTTTTAATAGTCTAAGTTTACACTGGTCATTAATACATCGAAGAGTAGTAGCTGATTGCCCTTTTTTTTGTATTTAACAGATTTAAGATATTTTCAAAGCCACTTTTTCGAACAGTTCGATAAGAAGTTGGCAATGATAATAATATCGGCGAACTCATGGCTGCTCCTTTCTACGGAGATGCAGAGAGAAGAATATAATACCAATATTTCTTGTAGTGAAGCACCACATCGACTTCAAATGCGTTTGTATAACCTGGATCAACGCAAAGCAAACTACAAAAAATCCTTCAAGAACCTGTATATGAAAAATTATTTCGGTAGGACTAGACATATCTTTAGGTGTAGTCGAAATAGTTTTTTACTTACTGGTTGTAGATTTTTGAAGGTACTATGAAATAGCTGAAACGAGACTTCCAGAAACGCCAATGTAAGCAGTGGTCATCAACCATTACTAGGAACTGAAATCCGCAATCGCTTCAACTTGCGTTACAAAAGAATAAATTATAGATAAAATAGACGCAGATGATTAACAAGGCAATAGCAGAAGACATAAGTCAAGATTAACCAAACCACCAGATTCCAATCGAACAGGTGGAGTGTGCCTGCAGTCAAAAGTTTTTGCCATCGTGATGGTGGACAGAAAGCATCCACGAAATTAAACGGACCCCGCGGATTAGATAATTAGAATGATGAAAGAGTTAGTTAAGACAACGGATTGTTTGCCGTAGAAAATCCTGTTTATACAAGCATCAGTAGTACTAAGAATCTATGGTGACAATTCATAAGCCAAACGTCCCAGTGTGAACTGCGCATTTAACTCATATACAGGGTATTGCATAATATATGCGCAGCACTTTAGGATTTGATAGCTTGTCCAAAAATTTGAAAAAAAGTTTCTATCAACTTACCCTCTGGTAAGTGTTGAACCCTCTACGGTACTCCAGTTGAAAATGTTGACCAATTAAGAGAGCGAATTGAGAGACATCTTGCGACATAATGCGGAACGCTCCGGGAATCTTCCTGCGTGTTAGATAGTCAATGCGTCGAAGAATTGCTGCGTGCATTGAAGCTAACGGCGGACATTTCCAACATTTAATTTAACTGTGTATGATTTGTAATTGTTTTTTTTTTTAATTATGCAGTTATAAAGTTAACATTTGCTTTTGTTACTTGTTCTAAAGTTTTAGTAAAATAAAATTTTTATTTCAAAAAATTGACCATGTTTTTCAACATAAAAGTTGATTTTTCTAGAAAACGGTCAACATTAGAGCTCATAACCTACAGTACCTTTTTTGTGTAGAAAACATTGACGGTTCAAATAGGCGTCTCAAAACCGTACTTTTTCCAGTGGCGTAAAAGTTGGGGAGAAAAACAACCACTACCCCTTCAAAATCTTCACCAATTATGACTTTAATAAAAAAAAAATTTCTCTCACAAAACTTAGCTTATTATGAGTAGAAAATGCTTACAAAAGCTGTTTTCTGTACGATAAACGGTTCCGGAGATATTCGCAAAAAACGAGCCATTTTTTCGAACAGTTCGATAAGAAGTTGGCATTGACAATAATATCGGCGAACTCATTGCTGCTCCTTTCTACAGAGATGCAGAAAGAAGAATACCAATATTTCTTGTAGTGAAGCATCATATCGACTTCACCTGCGTCTGTATAGCCTTGATCAACACAAAACAAACTACAAAAAGACCTTCAAGAACCAGTATGTGAAAAACTATTTCGGTAGGACTAGACAAAGTGGTGACATATATTGAGGTGTAGTCGAAACAATTTTCGTCAAAAAATAAAGGATGGTTTACCAATGTAAGCAGTGGTCATAAACCATAACTAGGAACTGAAATCCGCAATCGCTTTCACTTGCGTTAGCAAAGAAGGAATTATATGTAAAATAGTAGACGCAGACTATTAACAAGGCAAAAGCAGAAGACATCCGTCAAGATTAGCCAAACCACCAGATTCCAACTAAACAGGTGGAGTGTGTCTGCAGTCAAAAGTTATTGCCTTCGAGACGGTGGACAGAAAGCATCCACGAAATTAAATAGGACCTCGCAGATGACATAATTAGAATGATGAAAGAGCTAGTTAAGACAACGGATTGGTTGCCGTAGAAAATCCGGTTTCTACAAGCATCAGTATGGCAATCCATAAGCTAGACGTAACAGTGTGGACATAAGCGCATTTAACTCATCTGTATACAAACTTGCAAAACATCTCGTAAATGTACGTGGAAACACTTTTTACCAAGGTGCTGGTAAAAGATGCTGTTTGTGGAAAGAGATAATGTCAACATCCGAAAAAGAGCGGAATATTTATAAATTTATGCCTAGATATGTAAAGAAAGTACTTTTAAGACTTTTTCTTGGCCAGTCATAACATATGTTATCTAGTTATCACGGTCTAAAGACTCGATTTTGAAAGGGAGAGAAGTTAAGGAAAAAAGAATTATTGTGTAAAACGTTAAAGGGTTAAATAAACTTAAATAACTAACCTGAATTAATTTCTTTAACGGAACCATTAAATCCGCCAAACAAATTTCAATATCCGGAATTTCACCATCTCTATATCTCCGGTAAATAACAGCTTTTTCTTGACGTTGCTTCAAATCATCAATTCGTTTCTTCTCCATTTTCTCCTTCTTATTTAATTGTCCCAAAGCAAACCCTCTCTCAACTTTCGAAGAATCCTTCTGAAACCTTTGTTTCCACATTTTCTTAGCACCGGGAACCGCAGGAACTTTAAAATCTTTAAAATCAACATCTAAATCGTCATCATCATCTTTTTCGTTCATTTCGCGTTTTTCATTATCGGGTTGATAAGTCGGCTCAAATTCCAAATCCATCAACGTAGCTTTTAAATCAAAGCTTCCCCGCGAACTTTCGTTAGAAGTTTTGCCAATTTCTTGTGATTGTTGACTACGATATGTTGACGCGAATAACGGGGCTAACGAAGAATGGCGTCCTCGCCAATTATCGGTTATAGTTCGTTCGGAAAAATCGGCGTTTCTTAAGGGGGTGTTAAAAAGAAGCGTTGAAATATCGAGATTGTTTAATAATAATACGATTGAGTAACTTAAAAAGCGATCTTCAAGTTCGGGTTTATACATTTTTGTTAAAATTTGAAGGAATTTCTTTGAGACGTTTTCGTTTGGTAATTTTTTGAGGAAAAATTCGATGAGTTTGTTTTGGATTTCTTCTTCGGGATCGTTTAATCCTTTTAATAGACAATCTAAGGAAAGTTTGTTGGTGTCATCATCGTTAATTATTTCGTTGATTTCTATGAAAATGTCGTACATTGAACTTCTACAATCTTTATTGTTGTTGTTTATTAATTTTGAGAGGTTATTTAGGGCGGATTTAAATTTGATTTTATTATTATCAAAATTTATTTTTGAGATGCTTTTTAAAATAACTTTCATTCCTAATAATTTTAAACCATCGTCGTAGTCGTTTATGAATTGCTCAAAATTCTGCAGCAATTCGAAATTGTGGTTGGAATTTAAAGCTTCGGTTCTTTCTGAAAATACTAATAAAGCTACCCGTTTCGTTTCGAGGGTTACTTTCTGACTATTAAATGCTAAAATTAATTTGTTTAAAAGGTGGTCACAAATTTCTGGGTATGATGTTAAAAAGCCTTGTAAACATCCTAAATAATTATCAAAAGGGAACTTTTCGTTAATTCTTTCGATAATCTTTTTTTTAAATATTTTAAAATCGCGGTTTTGATTCTTTTCGGTTAATTTTAACGCCATTCCTATCGTTTGGGAGCAAGTTTTTTGGATTGATTTTTGCGTTGATTGCAAACAATTAAGGACGATTTTAACGAATTTTTGTAGCTCGTTCCCCCAAGGTTCGATGTCGTTAGCCAAAAAAATCGAGCAAAAATGGATGATAATTTCGACCTTTTTCGATTCGGTTTTAATTAATTTTTGTAACTCATCGAAAATAAAATCTGTGGGGGCTTTAATGTGGTTCCTCCACGTTTCAACGATAAGTTTGAATAAATTTAAGTGATACTTTTTAACGTCGTTGCGTTCCCGGTTAATATTTTCCATGAAAAATAACACTAAATTTGAGATTTCGTTTGAATGTTTTTGGAAATCGAAATTATTCCAAGATGTTAACATTATGATTAAGTCCCCAATGAAATAATTAATTTCGCTTCCTACGGTTGTATCAACGATTAAATTAATGATCGTTGGGGATAATAACGGTGAAAAATCTTTAAAAATTTCTTCCTCACTTTCGATTATTTTTAATAAAAATAATTTTACGTTAACGTGGGTTTTTGGGTTCTTTAAATCTTTATTAATTTCGTTTGAGTGATTTTCGTAAATTTTTTCTTCGTGAATTCGCTTTATTAACCCTCTAATATACGGCATACACTCGTGATTACTAATTTCATCGCCTTCGATTATTATTTTCATTTCAACTTCTTCGCTTTCATTTAAATGAGATCCCTGCGATTCTTGACTTCTAATAATAACCTTTGTAAAATCATATCTGTGGAAATCTTCGCGTAAAGTGCTATTATATAAACTTTGCGATTCAAGATAGCGATTATTTCGGTTTATTTCTTTTGTTCTTATATTAACTAATCGTGTCGTTTTTTCTGGGAGTTTATCAAAAAGGATGGGGAACACGTATTTGTTGTTTAAATCGATTAAGTTTTTCCATAAGATATTTTCGTTTTCACCGCGGAAAAACAATTTGTTGTAATATGAGGCTTTTAAATCGGAGTTAATCCCGTTTGTAACGACGCTTATTAAAGCGTTGTAACAATGACATTTTGATATCCTTGATGATTCATTTTCTGGGGGCTCTTTTAAATAAAGTGCAAACATTCCAAATAAGTCTTTAGTTAATTTATCTTTTTTACCAATTCGCGAAAATAAGCATTTAATTAAAATAAATCCGATTGATTTTTGAATATAATCTTTTTCGAGTAAAACTAAAATATTTTTGATATACTCATCATAAAAGTTTTCAAAAACATCGTAAGTTGAGTACCGCAATAAATTTGATGCGATTACATCGAACGATTTTAATGAGTTAAAGTCGGATATTGTAACAAAATACTTGAAGATATTAATTAAAGTTCTTGATTGGACTTCATTTGAAACGGAAATCATAAAAAATTGGATGTATTCTTCTACGTTGATGTTCTCTTTTAAATTTGACGTTGCGTAAATTTCGCAAGAAAACATAAAAAGTTCTTGTAACTTCGATGTGATTGAAATTTGAAACGATTTGTTAATAACTAAAGTGGCCGAATCAATTTCGTTTATATCAACAAAATAATCGTTTTTAATTCCCTCTAATTTATCTTTAAACGTTTCAAATTGTTTATATTTTACGATTAGAGGTAACACATTTAAGATCTCTTCTATGTGTTGGTATAAACGCTGTGGTAAAATTGCCGAATCTAATAAATTGAAGGATAATAAGATCCAATTTGTTACAAAATTATTGGATGAATTGATTTCGACGTCGTTGATTAATTGGGTTATTAATTCTAAAGTTTGTAAACCGTCGGGAATTGAGTTAAAACAATAATTGTTCCAATTATTAAGGATTATTTCTGCGATTTTTCCACGAATATTAGGAATTATTGTTTTGTTAAGAGCGTATTTAATAATTTCTTTTGTAAAATAAAGATAATTGCTGTTAAATTTAATCATATCGAAAAATACTTGAAAATACGGCAAAATAATAGGGAGTAAGCAATCTTTAAAATTATCATAAAAATATAATCCAAAAGAAATCATCTCATTTTTATCTTCATCTAAAACTTCTTTAGTTTCACACAAACATTTCAATAAATATTCGATATTTCCTACCGGATCTAACTCAATAATTGATTGAAAATACTTTTTTGCATCAACATTTAACTTGATTGAATCTTTATATTTCAAATTATCAATAGACTTGTGTAAAATGTTTTTTAAATAATTCCCAATTTGAAGCGATGGTAAAAAATCGATTTTTAAAAGTAGTTTTAACCCCCTCAAAAAATCCTTTTCTTTCTTCCTAATCGTTTCATTCATTGAAACCAGGTTTGAATAAGATTTAGAAACAAATTCGTTTATTTCCATCGTTAACAACTTAATTTGATCATCTTTAACGACTTTTTTCAATAAACACACGATCTCTTCCTCTCCAAAATCAACGTTATAAACGTTAAAAATAAACTCCGACAATAATTTAATCCCATAATTTTTCGTAAACTCCTCGATTAAATCGTTGTTTTCATAAAACGATGAAATTATTAAATATTGCATCGAGCATTTCAACACCTCGTGATTCAATCTTTTAAATACCATATTATCCAGGTCTGTAACGTTCGATTTTTTTGGGTTAATCGTGCTTAAATTGTATGGATAAATTGATTCGAAGTAAAATTTTAGTTGTTTTAAGAAATTTTGATCGATTTTATAAAGATGTTTAGATTTTTCGTGTTCATAAATCGACAATTCAGTATCTAAAACATTCAAAAGTTTTTTTAAAAAGCTCATTACATCCCCAAACGAAAAATTATTATCCTTCGAGTCGCAAATAATCGATTTTGTAGCAAAATAAGGTGAGAATACAATTTGATTATTTCCCTCAGGCAAAAATTTCGAAACATTATAATAAAATTCATAAATTCTCATTTTAGCCTTTCTATTTTTTGCATTTCGATAATTTAAAGAAGCCGAAACAACGGAGGATAAAGTTTCATCTAAAAATCCATTAGGAAGTTTACGATTTCTCGATGATTTATTGAAAACCCCCGATTTTTCTTTAAATACTCGCTCTAAGTGATCAATACTTTTTATGGTATTTAACAAACAATCGTATTCATCGTGTTCATCAATTTGGCTTAAATTATAAATTAAAGATTGAAACAAATCCAACCAATAAGTGTCAACGATAACATTTTCTTCGCGCAAAAGCGTGTAAATATTATTGAAAATTAAAGACCCTGCCAATCTTTTTAACGGATTCGAATGATAACAAAACATTTTGATTTTGCGGATAATCACCCTAACATTAGAATAATCATCTTCTGATCGACCAGAACAATATTTCAAGCTATATTTTATTAATTCGTGGATGCAATGACACGAAAAATCGCGTAAAGAAATGTCGTCTCTTTGCGTAATCGCATCTAAAAGTGATTCGATTAAAATTGCAAGTTTTGGGGAATTTCTTTGGTTGGGTGTTGAGTACCAATGAATTAATTGTTCAACTAATGGTTTAATTATTTGTTTAACGGTGTCGTCTAGATAACAACCCAATTGTAATAAAGGATAAAACATTTTTTTAAATTGATCATCGAGATTTTTTTGATCATCAACTCGAGATGTGCCAAGAAAAACGATCACAAAAGCATGCAAAGTTTCGCATGCTGTTATTTGCAATTTTCTTTCGCTACAATTTAAAGCTAAATCGATAACGCGAGGAATAAATTTTTCGATATAAATTGTAATTGTTGTATCGAAATTTAAATCGATTTTAATGTTTAAGTTATCCCCAAGTTTCTCTTCATCGATTTTATTATTGTTTTCTGTTAATGAAAACAAAACGTTTCCATTTACGTTTCCTAAAAACGATAAAATTTTTTTTTGAAGTTGCAATAAATCACCTTCTGAGACTTTCGTAATTTTTCTCCGATACAAAGGTTGTTTAGTTTTACGTTGTTTAATATGGCTAGTATCAACGTTTTCGCTTAACGGTTTACTTCTTAAATAAGAATCTAAAGTTGGTACAATTTCCGTTAAAAAATCGTCGTATTCTTTCGCCGGTAAGAATTTATTCCATAACTCCAAAGTATCAACACCAGATATAGCCAAAGTTAAATTACTCCTTGACGAATTAAATAAAGAAATAATCGCGGGAGATAACCGCTTCAAATTTTGTTTAACGTACACTTCCGGTGCTGCTAAAACAACCTTTAAGCACGATAATTTTAAATCGTCTTTATACGATTCAATTTTAATTATAATCGTGTTCATGAAATCCTCAATTATATCATAATAACATTTTATATCGTTTCTGCGTAATCGTTCGATTGAAAAATAATTTAAATTATTACATAATTCCAATCCGATTGCAATTAATTTATAAAAGCCGCTAATTAAAGGGGATTTTTTCGATTCGGTTATTATAAAATCGAAATATTTCTTTACGCATTTTGAAAATTTATTTTTCGGCGCCGCTTTTAGAATTTCCACGTATAAATCAACCATGTTTACAAAAATATTAAAATCGGGAACATTAACAGCTTCAAAACTAATTTTAGCAACATTATCCACTTCGTACGATTCAACTTGTTGAATGTTTAAATTTAATTTTGATAATAAACAAAACAAAGTTATAATCAACTCGTCGAATATTTCCTCTAAAATTTTTTCACCCTGAATCTTCTTATTGCTCACTAAATTAACCCATAGTTTTATATAATCTTTATAAGAAATTTCCTCCTCGTTTAAATCGTAAGCTATTTGATGAGAGCAAGAAAAAATAATCCCTTCATAAATCACATTTTGTAAAAACCCTCTCGATATATTCTTCGAAAATTTCCTCGCGAAATTAAACGCGATTAAAATTGGGCTAACTACAAAATCGGGATGATGCGCCGATAAATAAGGTGAAAGACGAATTAAAAGGATTGTTATCCTTTGTAATACCATGATATCGTGACGTGATAAAGAGTCGAGTTGTTCGACAATTTTTGATAATGTTTGGACGTAATCGGGAAGATAACTTAATTGCGATGAGTTTTCATCGAAATCCAACAAATATGTTTTTTCGATTTTTAATATTACGTTGAGAAAATCGGTTATCACGGTTTCTTTTAGATGTATTTTGAAGCATTTTGCGAAATAACCGAATCCACGTATTGATAGTCGTAATTCGTAACCGTGTTTTTCTTCGTTGTTTATATCGGTGATGAATTTATCCAGGTAGAACTAAATTAAAGAAAGGAACAAAGAATTAAAAATAGAAAAAAATAATATATGTATATGATATAGGTTGATTCAAAAGTAGTATTTATAATAAACGTTTTATAATTTTTTAATTTCAATAATATGCATAGATCAATTAATCAAAAATCAGCATTAACTGATTTTTTTAAATGATCTTTTTTAACTTTTGTTTTCAATTAATGTAGCTGCTGTCTATGTATGTATATTACATTCTGAAATGTAAAATACATTAAATATTGACCTTTATGCAAGTTTGAAAATTCTTATTTACTTATCGACCTTACTTATTAGTTCATAATCAACCCAACATTTATAATCTATATCCAGCTAAAGCCTAACGATGACAGTTCTTTATGTATGTACCAAGAAATACGAAAATGTCAAAATGAATAATTTTGGTTATAAACATAGATTGTAATTCAAGAACCAAAACTGATGAAAAAAAACGTCACCAACAAAAATTCTTCATAATGAACCAAAAATATATAATGTATATGTAGCGTTACAATCACAGAACCCACCTGATTTTAAATTAAATATTAGTTAAATCATTATACCATAGCGTTGTCATGAAAATTTATTATTGTTAACTGTTGAGTTGTATATTAGCAGTCGCGGCTGAACGATACGCTAAGGAAGTTTATTAAATATCTCAGCATAAGTAATCTGCGCTTAGTTTGTCAGCGGTTGTGAAATTCTCGGTTAGGATTAACATTTTTTGTTTCTCCCCTTTAATTTTGAAAACTGACAAAACTGTATAAAAATGAATATTGTTAATGCAGAAACGCATCATCCACTATCTCTTGTAATAGCACAAAATTTTCAAAAATATTATTGTTGGTCATAGTTTTAGGTTATGCAGAACCGCTAATTCTCAATTGCTTGTTCAGCCAATTTCGTTCCGCTGTATTAAAGCTCATACAACTAGCTGACTGATTTAATTCAACTGTAGACACCTGCTGAACGTACCCATTGTTTACATTTAGAATAAAACTTCAGTTCATTTTCATCATTTCATAACAAAACATGCATCTTTATTTTTTGTCCTTAAATGAGGTTATACTGGTGAATATTGTTTAAATTACAACCAGTAAACCTCACTATACCCAGCTAAAGCCAAACGATGACAGTTCTTTATGTATGTACCAAGAAATACGAAAATGTCAACATGAACAATTTTGGTTATAAACATAGTTTGTAATTCAAGAACCAAAACCGATAGAAAGAAACGTCATCACCAAAAATTGTTCATAATGAACCCAAAATATATAATCCATAACCAGTTAAAGCCTAACGATGATAGTTCTTTATGTAGATACCGAGAAATACGAAAATGTCAAAATGAAAAATTTTCGTTATAAACATAGATTGTAACTCAAGAACCAAACCCGATAGAAAGAAACGTCGCCAACAAAAATTGTTCATAATGAACCCAAAATATATAATCTATAACCAGCTAAAGCCTAACTATAACAGTTCTTTATGTAGGTACCGAGAAATACGAAAATGTTAAAATGGACAATTTTGGTTATAAACATGGATTGTAATTTAAGAACCAAAACCGATGGAAAGAAACGTTACCAACAAAAATTGTTTATAAAGAAGCCAAAAACATAATCGATAACCATTTAAAGCCTAAAGATGACAGTTTTTTATGTCTGTACCAAGAAATACGAAAATGTCAGAATGAACAATTTTAGTTAAAAACATAGATTGTAACTCAAGAAGAGTTTTACACTAGCACTATCACTAGAACTAACACAAGACCTAGAACTAGAATCATTCTGGTTTAGCCGTCTTGAGAGACATGGGACTAAATCCGAATGTTTCTAGTTCTTGGTCTAGTGTTAGTTCTAGTAGCAGTGGTAGGTAGCGCTAATTAGCATAAGATATTACTATGTTGTATATTTTTATTGAACTAAAACAAGAACGAGAACTAGAAACATGCGGGTTTAGTCGTAAAAAAAGTTAATATAATAATATAACTTCATAAAATAACCTTTAAAGTGAGTCCAAACATGACGCATTTCTCTCAAAAAACTAAAAAGTTCGAACTTTCAACTATTAATTTTGACATATTTGTCAACTTCATTAAAAAACCTTTAAAATGAGTCCAAATATGACGCACTTATCTCAAAAAACAAAAAAGTTAGAATAAAAAACATTAAACCCGAAGTTAGCAACAATGAAGATAGCAATTTAATTTTTAAATATTAATACCAACCTTAATTTTTGATTTCTTTTATTATAATTTTGTTTTTGTGACAAATATTAAGACATTTTATAAAAATTAAGAATATGTCAAAATGACATTTCAAACCGGCAGTTGCTTATATCTCGAGAATATTGGAATTAATCGTATCATGTTTGGACTCATTTTAAAGTATTTTCACGACGATTACAAACATGTCAAAATTGACGTTGACATTAATTTACCATAACTTCATTAATATTGAAGATAAATATGTCGTGTTTGTACTCATTTTAAAGGATTTTTAATGAAGATTGCAAATATGTCAAAATTGAGGTTGACATTTTAAACCTGAAGTTCGTTATCATATAATAGAAGTTTTATAGCTAAAGTTAATCTAGTGTTAGTCACTTTTAAGCACTTTTTTTATTTTTAACGTGTTTTGTGTCATTTCACATTAAAAAAAAAATCGTCGATTTTTAAGCAACATGATGATTCTTGAATTTTCCCAAGTTTCTTAATATTTCTTTTGTTAAAAAAGAGCGTTCTTAAATTAAAAATTAACCTGTAAACTTGTAACACTTCGTTCTTAATTTCATTTTACTACTTTTGAAACTTTAATTTTCTAAATTAGTAACTAATAATCTGATTTCGACTTTGATATATGGTCTTTTTTAAAAAAAGAAAAAGAAATATTAAGAAACTTGTTTGTAAAATGGATAGGATGAGGGATGTTAATCTATTTGTAGAGTCTCTGAAGGTGACCAAGGGCCGAAACTAGTTAGACTTTAATTCTATATGAAATAGAAACCAGTTGAAAAGTACAAAATCAAACTCTAGATAATTTTCTTCAAAAATTTTTACGTGAAACATCATTTTGACTCCAGTATTTGTGATTAAATTTGTGCCACGACTTACAGAAACACCCTACGTAATCGTAAAACGACTGATCAAGCGGATTCTGTGCTTGTGATGGCTGCCATCAGTGTTCTGTGATAAACATAGATAAGCACCAAACAATTTTCAACAGTTTGAGCCTGTCTATTCTGAGAAGTCATATTTTTAGAGAGATGAAAACGAAAATCCCGTTTTTCTCAACATTGTTTATTTGTCGCTTAGTCAAGTGATGTATAATGTGTTCCAATAGAGAACCTAAGCCTTGACGTCACAGAGATGGGCGGTAAATCACCATATGCAATTGTCCATTAGTGTTAAAATAAAATAAACTGTCCGTGCAAAAAGTCAAGGCCCTTCACTTTAGAGATCGATATCTTCGTAACCGCTCGATGAAAAAAATTGCGGTAAAGTTTATTGTAATCACTGAACATTTCTACGTAACATACGTTAATTCGAAAATTTTCGTATTCGTGGTTTTCATTTTATCGCGAGTTAAATGAAAAAGGTACTCGATTTTTGAGTGTGCCAGCAACTTTGTCAACTTTGCGATTATTTTTCTCCAAAACTACTTTACGAAAGAATTTTAAATTTGAACTGGTGGTAAACCGATATGTTCTTAATGTGGGGCATATTTTATTTTTTCGATATTCCATATAGTTGGAAAATCGCGGTTTAGTAGGATGCGGTTATTTCGAAAACAACCTTGCGGATTTTAACGCGGTTTTTACCAAAATATGTCAAATAATGTCGGTTGTCGGATTCCGTTATCAGTTATTCAAAATTAGGGCTCCCTAATTTTTTAAGAGCGATTTAATGGAATTACAAATTAAAGAGAAACAGAAATAAGCTATGCGGGGATAGGAGGGTTCCGCCCAATCGGAACAGATGGTGCGTCCCAGACAGTACGTCGCGCCTTTATTTTACCTACATAAAGAAATAAGGCGCGACGTCCTATCTGGGATGCGTCATCTGTTCTAATTGAACGGAACCCCCATCACACCGCAGAGCTTATTTCTGTTTCTCTTTAATTTGTAATTCCATTAAATCGCTCTTAAAAAATTAGGGAGCTCTAATTTTGAAAAACTAATAACGGAATCCGACAACCGACATTATTTGATATATTTTGGTCAAATCCGTGAGGAAATCCACCCAGCCGCATTCGACATAACGGCGTCTTACTAAACCGCGATTTTCCGCGAAACTGTATGGAATATCGAAAAAATAAAATATGCCGCTCATTAAGAACACATCAGGCTACCACCTGTTGAAAAATCAAATTTTTTAGTGTGATAGTTTTCGAGAAAAAAAATCGCAAAATTGGCAAAGTTGCCGGTACCGTAAAAAATCGGGTACTTTTTTCGTTTAACTCGCGATAAAAAGAAAACCGGGGATCCGAAAATTTTCAAATTAACATATGTTACGTAGAAATGTTCAGTGATTACAACAAATTTGTCGCAATTTTTTTTATCGAGCGGTTGCGAAGATATTGATTTCAAAAGTGAGGGGCCTTGACTTTTTGCAGGGATAGTAAGTGATGACATTTCAAATGACATTTTTTGGTGATTTATCTTAGCAACAAAATTGTTTGGAGTCAGTATAAGCTCCACCCACCTCTGTGACGTCAGACTTAGGCAATTTATTGTAAATACTGCAACAAATATGTTATTATTTCTGCTATTACTAAAATTACTATTATCTTTATGAATATCTTGTGTAACTATTTTGAATCACCTTGTACATCATGATGTAAAACTTACCTTTGAAATCTGTGAATCAGTTTTAGTTGATGAAATATCTCCCAATGTCTGATAAAAAACATCTAGAGTGTAATAAGCTGTTTTTTGAATTTCACCAGATTGTTCCAAACAATCTAATAGTAAAATTTCTAATGTATACTTTGCATCAAAAATATTTTCTCGGTATAAATATGATGAATGATGTTGTAAAATTTCCAAGGCAGCTAAAATTATATAAATTTCTTATAACTTTACTTATAACTTTTCTAATAACATACCAATATGCGAATTTTTAAATGAAGATGAAGATCTTAATCGCCGTATAATACAATCATATATTTTGTTGGAATAATTATCATCATTATTCAAGAAAAGATAATGATCGAAAAAGCGAAAACTTTGTTCGATTACAGCAATGCTATCATTTCTTGCACAATTATATGTTACCCAATTAAATATTTCTTTACACAACATATCGCAAGAATTTAAGCGGGTGAAATAGTTTGAGATTAATGTGTACAAAGTTTTTATTACTAAAGCTAGAACTCCCATTTTTTTATCCTTTAAATTACTTGTAAAACAATAATATAATGTTTCATATAACTCTTTAATTTGTTGATCATCAGAAAAATTGTCGGTTTTCTCTAAAATTAATGCCAACAATTCCAAAGCTCTTTCTTTTGCTTTAGCACTAGGTTTATCGGTTAAAACAACTTTAAGACATACTTGACGTATGTCGGGTACATATCTATGTACTTTTCTAGTAAGTTCTTTCACAAGTAAATGTAAAACTTCCAATGCTTCAGCAATTGCATTTGAAGCATTTTTTTGATCTTTTATTTTCAAAATAAAGATGAGTAAACCATTAGTTTCATCAAACGCGTTTAATAAATATTCATCTGCAATTCAAAAATAACTTATTTAACATTTCAATATTATAAATTAAACCCCATACCAATCGCGGTTTCATGATAATCCTTTTCAGATATATTTTGCATGCATCTTAACGAAGTTTCGGCATCTTTGAAATTTTCCTGCTTGATATAACTTTGTAACTGTATGAAATCTTCCTCCATCGTAAATAAAACGACATATAGTATTTATATAAATCTGAAGAAACAAAATTTAAGTTAGATTTACGATTTACATTTAAAACCTTTGACAATTTCAGTCAGTTGAGGTTAGGTTAGGTTAGGAACTGTCATTTTTAATCAGAATTAAGCGGGATATTTTACAGGAATCTGTAATGTATTTTAGAAATATTTTTGTTATTAAAATAATTCTTTTTAAAAAAAACGTTTAATTAGCTTTGTTAAGTATTTTGGAAAATAATAGAATATATTAATTAAATAAATTAAGTTAATAAATTAATTTGAAGTATGCACCATCTTGTGTTAAATGATAGAATTAAATTCAAATTTATTTAAGCAATTACTTTGAATTTGTTGATTAAGTTTATTTATTAAGATGTTGTAATTAAAAAATGAAGATGTAAATTATTATTTCACTTGTATCAAATTAAATTTATTGAAATAAGAAATTATCAATTACAAAACAAAGATTTCTATTCATTTCGTTGAACTTTAACATTTTTAACTAATAATAAATCGTCTAATATCGCCTAAATATTATAGTTTGATCCATAATAAGCTTTAAGGTCAAACGTTTTCCATTGATATTGACGTTATGGGCGCGATGTAAAAACGGGCGACCAACCTCGTGGTTCGTAGTCTATTTTAGAATAATTAGCGCACACTATAGCCTCGCTTTCCTGTTTTGTGGGGCACCAGGAACATTACCAGATCATCGCTCAGACGTACGTGCGGTTGGCCCCCATCAAAAACCTCAATAACTTTTCTCAAACAACGTCGTCAATACGATAAAACCGCGACGTCTCTCAAATAAAACTCAATCGCGAACTAAAATCTCTCATAAAGATTATTAATTGTAATCCTTGAAAGATTAAATTTTAAGTGAATTTGTGATTTGTTGAGTGCTGTATCTTATTTTGGTGTTTTTTTTTAATAAAATTGTTTGAAATTCTTTAAGGTGAGTTTTAAGAAAATAAGAATAAAATAGTTTACATTATTTTCTTATCTATATAGATACACTAATTAAATTGAAATTAAGGTGAAAGTTTTCTTGGAATTTATCCAAACAAATAGATATTTTTTGTAACAAATTCAATTAGAAGCTTATTTTAAGAAAATCGTATCTCGTTAGTGATACAATTAAATTGTTAACAAGATCATGTTTTTTTTTTATTTTAATTTAATTGGAATTTAGAAAACATTTCTTTTTTTCTATTAAAATTTGTATTTATTGCTAGGGAAGAAAACTGAAAGCTCGAGGTTGTTGTTGTATAATAAAAAGGAAAGTCGTTCCGTTGGCAAATTGTGTACCTTTCTTTTTCGGGCATCCAACAAAAAGGAGTTCAAGGTACGTTCGTTGTTTGCCGATTCGCTAAATTATGACACGCTTTCATGAATTTAAAAGTACTTACAACAAAAAGGATTATACCGGGCGATCTTAAGTTATGTCTAAATTAATAATAGTCATTTGAGTCGAAATCGAGAAAATATTCCAATAAACATTCAACGACATTTTTAGAATATGTGGATATTAAAAAAAAGATTATGAGAAATATTTAAATTTCGGTGTCGAATATCATGAATTCACCAAAACAAGTAAATATGCGCAAGTTATATCAAGATGTCTCGCCTTCGCCTATGCTAAAAGCGTTAATCTAAATATTGGGTGTCGAATTCGCCCGTACATGGTCATCTATTTTGGTGAATCTCAGTCGAGGAAATTTACATTATCTTTTTAGATTTATTTTCGATTTAGACAACATAACAGACTATGTTGTCTAAATCTGGTTGAAAAATTCTTACATCGAGCTTACAATTTCAAAAGAGTCTTCTATTAGGGCAACTAACTTTTTTTTTGATTAAATTGTATTATGTGCTGGTTATTCAATAAATTAATATCATGAGTCTTTATTTCAACTACATTTGCAAAGCTGTATTGGTCGCTTTTGCATATTATTCTATATATACAGGATGTATCTGAATTACTTTGTCAAACTTCATCAACGTGATGAAAGGAACAAAACTGTAAAAAAGGTTCTTATAAACATGTGCTAAAACTGCTTTATTAAGAAGTTATGCGCGAACTTAAAAGTTAATACCAGCTAATTGGCTTCAATCATTTATGTTAGTTAATCAAGTTCGTTGCTGTCGATTTAGCCATTACCTTCTTATTTCTTAACAATTAGTTGTTAGAAAAAAAAACAGTGTTTAATTTGAAAACTAGATATGAATTTTACTATACAAGAAATTTAATGACAGATATACATTTCATGTATAGGCGAGCAATTTGTAATAGTAATTTGGTTCGACGGCTTTATGCCGAAACTATTTCGAATCGAAGATGTCCAGCTAAAGGGACTTTTGGGACAATTCATCAACATCTTCGTGAAACAGGATATTTTAAACGGAATGCTTCAGATTGTGGGTTTGCAAGAATCACCAGAACAGCGGCGTTTGAAGAAGATGTACTTAATAGAATTACGGAGAATTCTAAAACCAGGTAGGTGTTTCGCATACTGCAGTAGTGCAGTATGGAGAGTCTTAATGAAGCTGATTTGTGATCAAGATTGTTATTTTGTAACCGATTTATTGCAGTGTATCATTCTGAACTTCCAATCCGTTGTCCTTTTTACGGAAAAAGCAAAGTTTACTAGAGATGCAACTATGAATCTTCATAATGACCTTCAATGGGCTGCAGAACATCCTCACGCGATTGACAATGAAGACATCAACAAACTTTTTCATATAACATCTGCACTGGCATTGTTGGCCATTATTCAAAAAGACCAATGTTTTCTCAAATTAAACGGAAATAATTACAGAAATTTTTTGGAAAATGATCTATCTACTTTACTTGATGAAGTTCCGTTGGAAACACACCGTGACTTATGGTTCATCCATGATAGTGCTCTACNCTTTATGCCGAAACTATTTCGAATCGAAGATGTCCAGCTAAAGGGACTTTTGGGACAATTCATCAACATCTTCGTGAAACAGGATATTTTAAACGGAATGCATCAGATTGTGGGTTTGCAAGAATCACCAGAACAGCGGCGTTCGAAGAAGATGTACTTAATAGAATTACGGAGAATTCTAAAACCAGGTAGGTGTTTCGCATACTGCAGTAGTGTAGTATGGAGAGTCTTAATGAAACCGATTTGTGATCAAAATTGTTATTTTGTAACCGATTTATTGCAGTGTATCATTCCGAACTTCCAATCCGTTGTCCTTTTTACGGAAAAAGCAAATTTTACTAGAGATGCAACTATGAATTTTCATAATGACCTTCAATGGGCTGCAGAACATCCTCACGCGATTGACAATGACGACATTAACAAACTTTTTCATGTAACATCTGCACTGGCATTGTTGACCATTCAAAAAGACCAATGTTTTCTCAAATTAAACGGAAATAATTACAGAAATTTTTTGGAAAATGATCTATCTACTTTATTTGATGAAGTTCCGTTGGAAACACACCGTGACTTATGGTTCATCCATGATAGTGCTCTACCACATTTCATTTTTGTTGCTAAGGAGTACTTAAATAATACATTTCCCAATCGTTGGATTGGCAGAATTATAGAATTCGTGCGTAACTTTTTAAGGAAACATTACTACACATATGTTTATAAGAATTGTTTTGCAGTTTTGTTCCATACATCACGTTGGTGAAGTTTTTCCTATATAAAATATCACTCGATTATAATCTATTATCCTTGTTTATAGATATATACAGGTGTCTCGTATCTTCCGCATCAGAGCATTATACGGTTGTAAGATACATTATTCTGAAGCGACCTTTCAAATAAAATTTTTCCGAAATATTTATAATAACCGCATAGCGATTCACTTCAATAGCGGAAAAAGTATCAAATCACAGTAAACACGGGGAATCCCAAGTCAGACGGCAGTACAGTGAATTACAAATCACGAATTTATTCATGAAACAAAATGGATAAGTTCTAAATAGGCATAAAAAANTGACAATAGTTCGACGATGCCAAGCCTGCATTGCTGATGAATGAAGACATTTGAGCACAAGCTCTAACGTCTAATCATAGCAAAATCCGATAAATAAGCGATGTGAAATTTGTTCTTGTTGCTTTAGTCAAAATTGTTACTGATTAATTACAATTATAGAATTCGTGCTTAACTTTTTAAGGAAGCATTATTACACATATGTTTATAAGAATTGTTTTGCAGTTTTATAATCTATTATCCTTGTTTATAGATATATACTGGTGTCTCGTATCTTCCGCATCAGAGCATTATACGGTTGTAAGATACATTATTCTGAAGCGACCTTTCAAATAAAATTTTTCCGAAATGTTTATAATAACCGCATAGCGATTCACTTCAATAGCGGAAAAAGTATCAAATCACAGTAAACACGGGGAATCCCAAGTCAGACGGCAGTACAGTGAATTACAAATCACGAATTTATTCATGAAACAAAATGGATAAGTTCTAAATAGGCATAAAAAAACAATAGGCATTAAAATTCAAAAAAAGGTGTAAAAAACTTGCTCTTATTTTATTCATCAACAAAAGTGAAATGTTTGATGTAAAATTTGCTATTTTATTCTAAATATAAAGTATATTTCATAAATTTTCTCACACATGAACAAGAATATTAATTTCTAGACAAAAGGAATTTGCTCCTTCCGTTCCTTTCTAGTTGGGTTTTCAATGGGAACATATCTATTAGGTAAAAATGTTTAAAAAATATACAAGTATGATTTATTTGTACCTATCCGACATTAAAAGTGTTCAAATTCTTAATATATTCGTTTGACTTTGTTGTCTTCTCTTTTAGTAATTTCTAATATTTTTGTGGGTTCCAATACTGAAATCGCAAAAAACTGTAGTTTGCTAAAAATGCTTTTATTTATCAAGATCCCGTTACACCTTTTTGAATTGTTGCAACAATTATGTAAACTTAATCAAAATAAGACATTATTTTATAATACCATATTCATAATGTTCCAAAAAATGACACATCTAGTAATTGGGTTCTATGCGATATGTGAGGAGGTATCAAAAACATAGGAATGTGATTTTACAACAGAAATGATAAATCGGTAAAGAAATGTGACTTTCATGGCTGTGGAGAACTAAAAAATGCTCTGGTGAGGTATATGTAATGCTAGGTCTTTTGAGCGGTAGATGATTCAGTTTCATCTATATTGAAAATGCAAGTAGACTGAACTTATATTCCAGGATATCTTCTACAAAATCCTGCAAACTAGTATTCACCAACTATTCTAGTTATTTAACTATAAGCAGACAGTGTTTCATGTGCAATTTCAAAACTTTTTACATAAAAATGAACCAAATGAAAGTTGTTCTGTGCGAAGGGGGGAACCATATGACGATAACATTTTTTGACCTTGACCTGAATTTTTGAAATGGCACCCTATGTTTTTGATTGCAAAATCCGAATCTATGGATAAAAGTAAAATAATTAATGTTTAAATATTTCCCCACCCACTTCAATACATTTATTAACCCTTCTACTAAAACTTTTTTTTACATCTTAAAATGTTTTCTTGGCTACTATTTCTGCATGCATTTCTTATCCGCTCTTTCATGTTTTCTGGCGTAGTTGGTACTTCGCGATAAATATTATCCTTAAGGACGCCCCACAAAAAAAAATCAAGAGGTGTTAAATCAGGTGATCTGGCAGGCCAGGAAATTCCAATCCATCGCCCAGCATAATCCCGATCTAAAGCTTCACGTGCAATATGTGAAAAATGTGCTGGACACCTATCATTTTACAGCCACATATTTTGACTTTCTTCAATGCTCAAATCTACATGTAACGTTGGTAAGACGTCATCTAAAAAATTCCGGAACTTCTTCCCATTTAGCATACCATCAATAAAGTATGGACCGATCAATTTATCACCAATTATGCCACACCAAACATAAACCGACCAAGGTCGTTGATGTTCT